AATTGTACTCACCCGCAACCTTTTTTATATATTTCACATGTGCTCGTAAAAAAAAAAACTATTTTAGACGCCGCAAGAATTAAAGTCAAGATAATATACCGTATAATCACAGCTTCAAACTGGAAATGCATGTGTAAACAATTGAACCCCCCCCCCCCACTTTCACTCATTACGATGCAATAAAAGCAATCATCCGTTGCATCTTCTGATAGTTCAGTAGGGATGTTGAGCGACGACCAGTATAATGCACCATGGGGGCAGCAGCACCAATTGTTTTTTTGAAGCATCATGCTATTTTCTTTACCGAACTAAATCATTACCAAGATGAGTGCACCATGAATACATTTCACGAAATCAAGTTTAAAACTGGCTTGTTCCAACCTCGAAAAATCACTTTGACTAACGGGACGACAGCTTGACACTCAACAGAATCAGTGCCTCGGTTGTTTTTTTCCTTTCAGTTGTCTACAGCATCCATCAGAAAATATATTATCATCAGCCACATACGTTGCTCTATTAAAGGCCAAAGAAGTAGGATTATTTATACTGGTGTTAAGGCACGTAGCTTTACTTTCATCAAAGCGAATCACACTCGAAAGTCGTTTGTTTGTCCTTACGCGTACGAAGATCTCACCTGCTCCAGCCGAAGAAAGGTGGCAAAGCCACACCGAGCCCCAGCACTCAGGCAAGGCCAAACGCAAAGAGGGCATGTTTGGAGCCAAAGCGAAAATTACCAAACGGCTTGCAAATGACGATGTAGCGCTCAGCTGCCAGGAAAGCCAACGACCAGCCTGTCACCAAGACTGTGTGGCGGGCAGACACAAACAATGCACCGTGTAATTAATGAATGCGGCATTTACAAATGACAAATGATACATTGTCCCGTGCAAGTATGTGCAAATAAAACGCACCGAATTAAATATTGCCTTTTTTGCGTAGCACTCCATAACGAATTATAAGAAGACTTTTGTTTCATATATTCACCGAAATAAACTATGTATTTAAGTTAATTAGCCTATGAGCGCTTTTAAGACAAACGTCAGCCGGGAGCATTTGGTTGCTTAAAGCAGATTTTAAGAGTAAACTGATTTGACATCTTTCAGTGGATGATTCCGTCCATAGTAAACGGTGTTTGTGAAAAGGCTGGTGTGAGACAACCGTTACAGTAGCATACCTGTCAACCCCCTATCAGTGCCTACCCTATTAGACCAATTCACATCTTATTGGTCACCCCATGCCCTTTTAAATCTCAACGTTCATCCTACAAAGTGCCATCACAAGGGAGAAACACAAATAGACAAAACTAAATTTACCCGTATTGAAACGGCTTTTACTGACCTGAAAACTCAATTTCCTTGCACAAGAATACGGGTAAAGCGGATGGGTTTACGGGCGTGCGGTAGACCAGATTTCAAGTTCCAAGTTGTGTTCCGTCAATAAAATGCCATTCGAATTCAAATACAGGTCTTTCCATCGGACAAAAAAAGTACAAATAAATCTTTCAGAAAAAAAAAAATGCACGAACAATTGTGTGTAAGAGCCATGTTAAACATACATTTATGGTTATCGTTATGAAAGTATATGCAACAAAGTTTCTGCATTTCCTAATTATAGTGGACAAATCATACGTAATTCATTTGGTGACCGGTGCACCTTAGTCCACTGCAAACTGGACATCAAAACGATTGAAAGACTTACCGGCCATCGACCCAAATAATGATTCGAGCGCACAGGACCGTGGGGCCAAAGACGAACTAGCCTTGCGTGCTGAAGATGTTCACCGTGGAGATGCAGAAGAGACAGAAAAATTAACCCGTAAAAACAAAGTTTTTCTCACTATAAATCCTTTATATGCGTGGCGGCTAGAGTCCTCTCGTCCTCTGGCTTGAGATGGCTGCCACCTATGGGTCAGATGATTGCCTGCCACCATTAAGCAATTGGTAATTAAATATTTAAAAAAAAATTCCTAAAAAGTGTAAAGTTATTGAAAAAAAATTTCACGAAAATAAATTGTCACGCACAACGAGTCTGTGTGCTAAATGTCAGCTCGATTGGATCACGGGAAGTGGGTTAAAAAACGACCGAAAGATTTGCACGGTCGTAAGCGCGCAAGCAGCAAGCAAGTGAACTTAATATAAAGGAATTTTAAAACGAGGCCTGCCGCCGATATGTTCACGAGGATGTAATCGAGTGGCTGTCGCAGCTTCTTGCATTTGACGGTGACGATCAGAACGATGGCTGTTCAGTGGCGTGCCGCACAGGAACACGAGAAGCCCATGAACGCGGCCTGTAAGTAGAAAGCCCACTTTGGGGCAATGTGATACAGCGGACCATCGAAGGGGCCCACTTTGGAGATGTTTTTGAACAAGTAGGACTCTTCATCTCCGGACATGGTTGCTGGTTGCTCACCCCCCCCCCACTCCCCACCGCTTTGCAGGCCGTGTCTGATGAGGCTCAAAAGCACATGCCTTGAATTACGCAAAAAAATCCAGTGTTTGCCAAACACCCCATGGGCTTTATATGCTTTCCATAGGATAATTGGTTGGATTAGCTCCGGCTGCCACAGTTTAAACCACTTAACTCTGCTCCGGCTCTGGTTTTAGCCGCTTACAATGAGGCTCGTCGTAATCAGCATATGCGGAGGGGGGGGGGGCGGAAGGTTCTTACGAGGTCCATTAGGATATCGGCTAATTGCGCTTCATAAAAGACAAGCAAATGCCCAGGTAAATCTGCTAATGTCTTTCATCGCCGATCGTAAAGTGCCCAAAACGCCTCAGTGGACTATCAAGCAAAGTGCCTCAGTCAAAAGGCCAATGTGCCTCATGACGATCAAATAAAACCATTGTGAAGCCCTAACAAAACGAACTGTGGTGTCAGAAATGACAAACACTTCAATAGTACAGGTTTCCTGCAAACAAGTTTCATTCGGTACGTTTAAGAAATGTATCACTTTCTAAATCCCGACCATCCAAAGCTCTGCGTTATGCAGACAAAATCAATGGTAATTATGTAAAATGGAATATCGATCAGAAGTGATATTCTGCTAAATGAATGGACTTCTGTTTTACCATAAATATAGAGAGAGCATTAACAATACACCAATGTCTATACGCTGTACTGCTTATCTGAAAAATATCACAATTACAGCATTAGTTCAATCTGATATTTCACATACACACTTCAGGCAACATTTTAAATGTAATTCTGGTGACAAATTACATTTATATGGACATAAGCAATCCATAATGTAAACAATGTGCAGACAAATATATATTTTAATAACTGTGAACAAGATTTACTGTCAGGCATATACTGCAGACTATTTATGCTTGTATGTTGGGCAATTGATTGGGTGGGATTTGAATTGCCATGTTTTCAGATTGGAAAACAATCGTATTGCAAATGGATAATGGTAATTATCCGGAAGGCACAGCTTAGCTGAAATAGCCGACTAATCGGCCCAGAAAATCCATATCCCTTATATAATTGTTGGAAACTACACTTGATCGTCTCCAACACGACCCAATGGACGGTCAAATGTGTCTCTCCACAAACCGTGGAAAGATATTCCCGATAGTAATGATGAAATGTCAGTCTTTATTCGAACGTGATAATATATTGCAAAGCTGATGGAATATTATTTTGGGAAATTTACTTCAGCTTCAACCCCCTCCATGAGATGCGTCACAACTGAATTTCGATGCCAATTTACAGGTAAATGCATTAACTCCCAATTTTTACACAATTATCAATTTCTATTGCTGCCGGCGTGTTTGCAAAAAAGGGCATCAGCTCCGAAATCCTGAGTATAATTGCAAAACTGTAATTAAATTTGTCATTGTCATTAACCATAGAAATCGGATTACACAGCGGTGTGAACACTACGACCTTAGCCAATGGCAATGAACTTTTAACCTCATTGTAGAATGTGGACTGAATGATCCATATTTCAGATGTATTTTAAACACGGGCAAATACACGTGCAACGCACGTACGCACGGGCCAACTAATCAGGAAATGTCATAGGAGAGACAATAACGGGCAGCAAGATAAAACACAATGCATGGGGTGCACAAATAACTGATTTGAGAAGGAATGCGTTAGCGTTGAATGCTTGACATTATTGTCGCCATGGACACGCGACGGTGTTCCTACATCGCATTATAATTTTTCGTAGAAAATATTTTAATCACAAGTGTGGTCATAAAGAAGCAAAAAAAATGCGTATTGAATGGAAAGCTCTTCTCTCGAGCCACGACAACACAAACTGCCTACGAGGCAAGCGGCAGCACGCTTTGTCTTTTCGCTCACGGTCACAGTCAACCGAATCCACATCTTCTCTGCAAAGTGGGTCCACAACGACCCCTGGCTGTGAGCAAATGCACTCCCCTCGCCATATCCCGACACGCTACACTTGCCAGCTGAACCTCACTTTTTAAATGCGGCCGCCCTCGGATAATAGAGGGGGGTGGGGGGGGGTGGAAACGGTTTAACATTTTTTCATCATTTTCAAATTACCCATTTCCATACGCAATATCGTCAGGGGCACGCAACGCTTTGAACTACATTAAGCCGCGCACAGCAGAGCAGCGGGGGTACGTTAATGTCCCCTCCTAATCGGACGCGCCAACTGTAATGACCTACAGCGGTTTGAGACCACGAGGGATCAATGAATGATCCCCGCTGCCCTCGCTCTATGCATGCCAACTGTGCAAAATGAATTCATAACGGTGGTTTGTTTGAAGGTTTGCACGATCGCACTGGGCAATGCTTTCATTCTGCGGGGCACTTTGTATAATGAAGCCAACACAATCTGGTCATAAACACACCAAACTTATTGTACCGTGTACTGTATAGGTAATTAAACGAAAATGCCCCACCCGTTCATAGCAGAAGAAAATACTAATGTATGGGAAGCTAGCTATAGATGTTGTCTAAAAGCTTTTCCTATAAAATAACTACCCTGATGCAATGAACATTCAGAGAACACGCAAACCAAACCATTTTCCGAGCTATTTATTTCACAGCAGAATTTACACATCGTAGATTTTTTCTACCAAAATAGATATTTTCATGCCGGCTGTTTTAGAATGAAGCCAACTTGCACAGTAACAATAGATCAAGATGTCATTTTTTGGATGCTCTACATTTCCACATAAGCCACTTCTGTTGAGCTATCATTTGTGGCCATATCGCTTCTGAAAAAGAGCTAGAGTTCAGTGGGCCTTACCTGGTCAAATAAAAAAAGTTTAGTTTATACCTTGCCAATGCTTTATACACTCCACCAGGCAGTAATAACATGAGCAGTTCATCTGCATTAATAAAGACTGGTATTGTATTCAATCCCTCGTGGATTTTCCCCCCAGATGAAACACTTTACATTAGCATGGCACATCAAGCACAAGCCCGTCACGTGGAACTTAAGACGGGGAATAAAATCCCACGACACTCGATGCAAACAACAAAAACATCATTACATTAAAATGTTATAATTTTAATCAACATTGAAAGTAGAACCACAGTCATTAAAGTAAAGACATTATTGACAATATCAATAATATAAAAATGGTTAAAAGCAAAAGAATATTTTCCACTAATTAGGACATTTACTTCTTTCACTTCTGTTTTTTAAAACCGCCCCGGGATTTGCCGCCGGCTTTGGCTGGGCCACCATGTTTCCCGGGTTTCCCAGGTTTCCCAGGTTTTCCAGGTTTTCCAGGCTTGCCCTTCTGGAAGGACTTCTTGCTCTTGTGGTCGTGTGAAGAGTCCTTCTCGGCAGATTTCCTCTTTTCCCTGAAACGCGCAACACCAAAAATATGAGAGGTGGAAATAACAAACGTCAGCATTGGATTGTCCTATGAAAATGGACAACTATTGATTTTAAAAGGCCTACAAACTGTGTTAATGTGAAAAATTACAAGACCCCAGGTAAGGTGAAATATTTCACCATCAACAACCATGGTCAAGCCACTGCTGGATGAGGGCCTATCAAACCCAGCATCTCTTTCGATCCTGCAATGTGAATCCACCTAGCACCTGCACAAGCTGATTTAATCAAATACGCTAAATCGTTACTCGTGTTTTCATTCGCATAGCGGTAACGAAAATGGTGAAGGCACGCGTCACTGTTAGTTAGTTTTTTTTTAAGGTTTTAATCTTCGCAGGCCTATTCGAAACAAAAGGCATGCTCTTTTAAATGTGCGGCTGCTTATTATTTTTGCACCTCCTTGTGCATGACACGCACGAGGCACACGCATACAAATAAAAACGCGGCGGAAATCTCCAGACTGCCCTGCCCTCAATTACAGAAATGGATCAAGGGAGGGGGCTTTGTGTACTCCAAGAATGGGTTGCATCCGGCCAATGGGCCTAATTGACAGTAAACTGCTAGAATACTTAAGCAGGCAATGGCTTTGATGCATTGCAATTGATCCGAATGCACTTCAGCCCTTCCCCCCCCCCCGCACCTCCATCAGATAACACGCAATTCTGGGAGAAGGCGTCTGTGATTTACAAGGCCCAAACAATTCAATATCAATTATTCAAAATCTCACCCATCCTTTCTTTCCCCAAATAAACTCTAATCCTCCCGATCGTGGTCCCCACCTGGGTAGGGGGGGGCTCAATTTATCCTCCTTCCATAAACCCAGGAGCACCGAATTCGGGCTTTTGTTGCTATGCCCCCTCCCTGCGGTACGGTTTGTGCTTTGTACTGGGCTCATGTTGAGTTACAATGAAAACAAATCTCACCTACCCTGCGGACACAGGAACAAGGTTTGTTACGGTGACTAATGCCACTGGAAGCTGAATGGTTTCGCACTCTCACCCGGTGATGCTGACGACACTGGCGCTTGATCCAACCTTCTTGAGCGCCTCATTCCACTCCTTGTCGTCCCCGCGAATCACGTACCTGAACCGCCACATGCAGCAGCGTTACCGACCGACGACGAGCGATGCATTGCGGCAGCAATACGTGGCGGCTATCGCACGCTCCCTATTACACGCCACAGCGCATTCTTCCCCTACCTGGGCTCACCAGAGATACTCGAGCTAGGTAAAGTCAGAACCACACTAACTGCCCCATGTGAGATGTGGTGTGGACACATTTTCCAGATGTTGCACCCCTCACCGGGTTATATTGTTAACCCATGGCGATGTTGCTCTGTGCCGCATGTGTATTTCAGGAAGTATTTGCGAACGCAGATGAGCTCAACAACGACGACCACTGCTTGTGCCTCGGCTACAATCCAGGACTTCGTGACCAATACACGTACAGCCCTTTTTCCCCCAACCACCGATGGAACATGCCATGTGGCTTGACCCATTTCCTCTCCTACTTCTCGATGCTGGTCAGGGCGGTTTGGTAATGGTGGGGAGCGCAGACTGTTTCAGCATACCCACACAGGTCAAGAATTATATTTTGCTGTGCTGCCTATTGCTGACAACACAGACATGTAGCAGTCAACAACACCTGTCTGATGGCATGGTGGGTCACCCATCCAAGCACTATCCCCAGGCTGAACCATAATTAAATTTCGCAATCTAAGAATGGGTGTATTCTGTCACGTTTCTCACAAGCCTAGTTAGATACAATGCCATTGAATTGCCCAGGAAAGCCACAACCATTGTAAATACTCGTTTTGTATTGGGATGCTGTGGCGAGTCCATTAATGTTGGCCATGTGGCAGGAAACCAAAGTACCGAGAGAAAAGGCACACACACAAATGTGGAAACACTCAAAAGCTCTGAACAAACGCAAGAACACATTGGTGCTGGTCTGCCATCTTCCCGGCACAAGCCTATATACAACATCTGTTATTTCCCAGGTATTCTGTCATTTCCCAGTACCAACCAGGCTGAAACTCTGCTTAGCCTCTGAGCTCTGACAAGCTCGGGCGCGCATTCAGGCGATTCTAATCGACCCTCTGATTGACCACGGTACGAAGCAATGAAATACCAGCTCCGAGGAGCAGAGCTGCAAAGGCAATCGAACAAACCGTCATTCATTTTGTGGACCTACTCTGTGAGGTTCATGTCCTTTATTTGGACCAAGTCCTTCTTGTGCTTCTCTGCAAACTCCTTGGCTGCGTCCTCCTGTAAAATAAAACACACAACACGCCAAAACATCACACCAGTTGATATTTACTGTTTCGCACGCCCTACATTTTTGACGGACAGGCCATCGTGATGAAATGGTATTTTTTACCAGGTCCTCGGCCAGGGATTTGACTGTAGGCTCCATCACCACCTCCTTGACCTTTGTCATCTGCTCCTCGATGGCTGTCTCCTGGATGGCGGTGAATACCTGGCAAGAAGACCAGGGTTAGCAAAGGAGAACGCAATCTCATCCACAATAAGGAGGGGGGGGCGGGGGGAGGGAACACCATCTACACCTTCATCAATATCACTGTGCGATTCATTTAATCAATTAATCGCTTCAAAGCCATTTGTCTGTGTAGAACATGCTTTGATTCACTCAACCGTTCACCACTGATTAGTTAAAGTGCCCCATTTATTTATTATCTGATTAAATATTTCTTGTTATGCTACAATGCTGGGACTGTGCTTTATCTGAGAGCCTCACCGGTGCTGCATTCATCACTGGGGAAGCGATCGCTCTTATGGGCGAATAAAACGCCACTTCTAAACCATTCATCTCGCTTAAATAATTTAATGAATTTAATGAATAATAAATATACAGATGCACAGACAAAGACGGAGGAACAGATATCGACACACAAAACACACGCACGGCGGTACACACACACAAATGTCAGTTAGGGCTACTAGGTAGCGTTTCACGGTTATGCTGTACAGCCCTCCGATGCAATTTCAGGTTGTACCAGGTGTTATTTCAGGTTTTCTCCCAAAGGGACAATTTTACAAAATCGGCTGTCCTACATTTGACACCAACAGCAGCCGACAACTCTAAACAATTGAGACTGAGCTGCTCAATTCAGCCCCTGAATAAGCTTCGAGCACGCGGGGAAAAAACGTTGGACATCGTGCCGATCGAAACACGCGGTGTACAAACCGAAGACACCGGAGAGAACACAGAGAGGCAGAAGGGAAAAGGGTGATTTTTCTCGAGAACCTGCACGGCCTTGCGCATGATGCGGTTGAAAAGCCCCATAAGTTGGCTGACGGGAAGGTCAATCTCCTTCTCCAGCTGCTCGACAGCCTTGTGCTGCAGCCCGACGCCCAGCAGCAGAGCCTGTGTGGTCGGCAACGCGATAACAAGACCTGTCAGCGGCTCCTCTGTGGACGTTGCGAACTTCATAACGGTAAATGTGCGCTCTGGCATTTCTGTGCAAATGCAGACACAAAGACTCCTAACAATAGGAGTCGGGTGATTTACAGTCATGGGGTCGGTCATTTGCGGACCAAAAAGAAAAAAGAATAAAGCTGGGTATTGTACAATTAAAAAAACTATGATACAGTCTATTGTGTATAGGGTACACAGTCCCTTAGTCAATAATACAAATATCAACTTATAACACCCCGCACAATGCTCGCTCACTCTCGTCAAGAGAATACAACTCAAGAGGCACGAGGAGGAACCACAGACAAGCAGGAAAGCAGCCATGTGATGAGCCGCTGCAAAACGTTGCCCATGCTCTGCAGTCCTCTGTATATTAAAGGTGTTACCGGCCAATGAATGAGTGCTTACGCATGGGAGGAAACTGGAGCACCAGGTGAAAACCTACTCGTGCTAGGGGGAAACACCATCCCATTTTTGCTACACTGCCTTCTCCTGGCGAGCCCACGGCGAAGGACGTTTAGCAGCGTCGGTGCTATCCGCCAACCCTCGCCCCTCCACAGCGCTGGATTACAGCCGTGCATAGCCACCAATCTACTGGCGAATGAGGAGCTCCCCACACCGTGCTGGGGTCGTGGGCTGCCGTATTTCACGACGCTGGTCAGTGTGGCAGGGGGAGCTTAAGACGCGAGAAGGTACGGTCGTATTTTTTTTTGCTGCCGACTACGTTTATTGGAAATAACCAAGGAAGAGCTGCACGAGTGAACGCCGGGGGCTCACGAGCTGGGCAGCAGACAGCGACATGTCGGGCAGCCGGTGGGTGAAGTAGAGGCGAGCGATGCCTGGCACCAGGTCCATGATGAGGTGGTAATCCACCATGTTGCGAGAGTACATCTCCAGGCGCTTGAGGTCGTACGGGCTGAAGGTCGCCTCCAACTCGGACTTGCTGAGTGCTGCCAACAGGATTTAAAGTGGCGCGCGCACCAAGCAAGCAGTCACAACCAATGCAACCCAAAGTGGCTTCAATATGCGGCAGCCAGTCGACCCGACTCAGCAGAAACTCAAAATGCGTTCGTCGACAGCGCTGACTTAAGAAGAGGAAAAATTTACATAGTCTGCTATGTTATGGACGATGGCCTTCATTTATAGCTATGACCTTCTGGGCCATTGTCGAAAATGTCACCTATTATATACAGTAAAACCTTGGATTGCGAGAATAATTCGTTCCGAAAATGTGTTTGTAATCCAACGCACTCGTATATCAAAGCACTCGTATATCAGTTGTGATCACGTGACACTCGGCAGACAAAGCGTATACGTACTACTCGTATTTCAAGACCTCTCTCGTTTATCAAACTAATATTTATTTAAAAAATTAGCTCGTCTTGCAAAACACTCGCAGACCCAGTTACTCGCAATCCAAGGTTTTACTGTATATTTTTTCCTCTCTCTATGACAGTGTTATTAAAACATGCCGAGTTTTTGTTAATCGTGCATTTGCCTCGCTGCCAATACAATTCAAGCAAAGCAATCATAAACCAAGCGAATATATACTGGAGATTTTACTTACACGTATATAGTGTGTTTGTTTTTGTGTTCGTCAATTACAACAACTTACATTATATTTAGCGCCAAAATGCAATTGTATCTTAAGAAGCATTTAAAAATATATATTTTCTTGTTGTTGTTATAAATGTGGAGGAATTGAGATGAGGGGCGGGGGGGGGGGGGGCAGTTGGGCCCGATTGGGCCGCTTGGGCCTCGGATGGGGCGGATGGGGTAGGACAAGACATATAGAGAGAGCGCAACACTACGACGCAGCCAATGAAGAATCAAGTGGGGGCAGGGGGGTGGGCTCAGCACCAACAACGATGAGCCCTAGTAGACAGCTGGGGCAGTCAGGGCAGTACAAAAGCATCCCAAGGAATTCTCACTAACAAGTCCCATTAATGATTATTTTTTTAGTCTTCAGGATGCGGGGAGTGTTTGTTATTGGACATCGACACCCCGTGCAGCAGGGGTACCCACCTTGAGCCGGTTTCTCTTTCACGTTACGGTTCTGCAGGATGTTGAGAGAGACGGCTGGCAGGAAGCCGCTGAACTGGTATGAAAGCAGCGTCACGAACCGCCGTCGGAAGTCTGCAGCGACCGTAACAGTGGGGGGCAGGACGGTCGTAAGTAAAAAAAAGACACGGAGATATACAGCACGGTGGTCCCAGCAATAACCACGATGAATAACAACGAGCGTCCACATACTGACAGATATACGACGTAACGTATTAACACTTTGGCACAATGAGTTCAAATCACTGGCGGCGATTAGGCTTGACAGTCGCACCTTTCCAGTACGCCGCGAGCCAGTTTTCGGGCCTCTCCATCTGCTCGTCCTCATTCAGCACTTTAAGCATGATGCACGAGTGTTCTCCCGTCAAGTCGTTCTGCAAGAACATCAGCGTGTGCAATAACAATAAAGCAACACAGACGCGTTTATTTTACTCGAAATTTAGTAGGTCGACTAAAAATTGACGCTTTGCTAGATAATCAAAGTGTTCCCCCCATCCCCCCACCCCGACTATTTGCATGCCTGGAGTGCAGAAACCACAATACCTTGCTGAGCTGGTCAAAGAGCATAAACCATCACGCTTCTGTAGCCGTCTGAACGCCACCGGAGCTATGCACTTTTAAATCTAGATTGAAAACGAATTTCTCTAGAACTTATTTTTTTGCTTATAGTTTGTTGCCCTTCCCCCGCACCTCCAATTAGCACGGTTGGCTACGTACGCCGAGAAAGAAGATCAACATACGTGCATACACACAAAATGCGCGGCGCGAGGACAGGAGGTGAGAGAAAGCCTCGTTCACTTACGGGGGTCTGCCGCAGGTAAACGGGGGTGAAGCCCGATCGCTTCCAAAACCTTTGGATCGCACAGTGAACAAAGCGCATTTTGTAACACACACACACACATACACCGCAGAAGACATTATTAACCTTAAGTGCAATGCTACATTATGGCAATTTTAGGGCAATCATCATGGGTAATCTTCGCCCGCAATGGACGCTGCACAATGTTTTTGCAGTCTCTAGACAGACCTGTCACTCAATGTCTTTTCCGCAGAGGGGTCACACCACAGCTGCTTTGAGTAAAAACGCATTGTCGATTGCTGGCAACGATTGCCCTAAAACGCCCGGGGGGGTGCATCGTGGCCTTGAGTGAAAAAAGAAAATAGAAATCAAGAAATCCCAGGACAACATTTTATATTTACTATCCATTCAAGAGCCTTTCAAAAAGCAGGTTCTCCTCGGTACGCTAAAATTATTCATCTCCAATTAAGGCTTTTTATCACCTCCCCTAAGGTTTTGATTGCCAATGGCCAGAGGCGTCTGTCGCGGGCGCCGTGAGGCGGCAAGGCGCTTGGGGGAAGGCCTTACTTGAGCAGCTGCGGCGTGAGGCCGAACGAGACGCCCAGGTAGTCAAGCCTCTCGGTAGGACGCTCGCTGAGCTTGTGCAGGAGTGGTGGAAGGTCTCTCCTGGGCGTCAACGTCTCCTCCAGCAGCCCCACCGCCTGCACCAACCACATCACCGCCACCACAGTCACCGTCATTCATAGCCGGCTATCAAAGTCGACTCTTATAAATGAATCGCTGTCCATTGCGGTGAAAGCAGCCTCAGGAAACTGGATCCTCACGTCGCTGGCGATGGAGGAGATATGGCCCTGTGTCTGCGACGCCGTCTCGTCCAGGCACGGGAACTTCCCTTCGTAATACATCTGCAGGAGACGCAGAGCCCGGCTGCCATATCCCATCTGCAAGCGGCGGAATCGGGAGAGGGGAACAAGCCCAGTGCACAAGTCATTAGGACAATCGCCAGCGATACATTTAGCCACCGACACAGCACAACTCAATTACAGTGCCCTTTTTCGCGCAGCGGTAAGAGTCGAATACGTTTGTTCTACATCGCAGGAGAAACACCGTTTCCTGATTTGTCACAATATTGTGCGAACCAAATATCCACACGCAGCAGAGTTAGACGCCCACAACAGCATTACTGGTGTAACGTTAAGGCACTTTGTCGACTGTGATTGAACGATTTCATTGCATGGCTGCAGCATCGGCTTACCCCTTGGTAGTCTGGGTGGACAGCGATCCTCACTATTCTTCCCCCAGACAAGCTCCCAAAGTCAGGGTCTTGGAACTGCATTCATTGGAAGGCAGAAGTTATCAAATAACACCCACAAAAGCTGCATACAATTTTTCTCAACATATGCAAACGGATTAAATATTCACCGACCGTTAACCTGTTATAAAGTGAAAAGTCTTTCAACATTTTTAAGAGTGAGATTTAGAGTGTAAACGATGGCAATTTTAAAAGGGTTTGGCAGCAACCATCGCCCAATACTGTTTTTGTTAATGGCCAAGGATGCTGCCAGGTTGTAAAGAAATTACAGTTGCATCACAAATGTGAAAGAAAAAAAACACATTGGGAATAAACAAATTTGGCTCGCAGAATAAGCATCGCTGGCCAAACATTTCCACGAGCCGGTAACAAAAAGGACAATCCAAACTACGCTGCACGGAGCCTTACCTGCTCCGAAATCGTCCATGGGATAAGGTCTCCCGCTGCTCGCTTGCCCCGCGCCAAGCTGCTCATTATGGACTGCTGCGAGATTTCACCCTCTAGGCAAACCTATAAAAACATTACGCAGATTGCACGGCACCATCAAAGCCAGCAGCCCACTGAGGGGGGCCCCACTCACAGTTAATTCTTTCGACATTACGCAAAGCCGGGCAAAATACGACGCAGCTCTCTTCAAACTTTTAAATGCGTGTGTGTACAGCCACTGCGGTAATTCCACTGCGTAGGTTTTCACGGTTGTGCTGCACATAGCCTTCCAATGTGTTTTCGGGCAAAAATTCACGTAGTTCCGAATGATGTCTGACATTTTACTGCGTTTACCTTGGAGCTTCTTGTGGAACTTAAAATTAATACAGTTCCTGAAGAAGGCTCTCGGCACATGGAGGAGAATGTCGGGCATCATGCCGAATGAGAATGGGTAACAACCCAAAAACACATTTGTGAAAAAGCCACTAAAAATGATCAACCAATGTGAGAAATTCAAGTGTACGGGGATGCTATATATGGTCCTACTGGTGGCCCTAAGAACTCTTTAAGGCCAACTGCAAAGCTGTGAATGCCTGACTGAGTTTTCTCTATGTATGAACTTCCTAGCATGAAGAGATGTATTTTGGCCAGTAGATAGTCGATCAACTGTGCTGTTGAACACACATTTCGCAAGAAAGTCATGCAAGGGGAATTAACTTCTATGGTACAAGGGTTACAGGTTGCCGCGAGGCTACCTTGTGTTCTGCAGAGGGCAGTGCAGCAAATCCAGTGTTGTCATTTACCTCCACATTCACAAGTCTTTGCTCCCCGTCCTCACCAACCCGCATTGACCAGCGTGGGCGTGGGAGTGCCTTTTATCCAGCAGCGGACTGACAAAAGGGCTGTGCATGTACTCGTGACAAGAAAGGGGAAATGTGGAAACCCTAACGGTGCCCGAGTGCCCAGGGAGGGCAATGCAGGGATGATCCGCACCCAGAATGGCATGGTTGGCTACGTACGGTGCGAAAGAAATTCAACATACATACATACATACGGCCCATCTGCAGTGCGAGCACGGCACCTGAATGACGGCCAAGACCTCTGGCAGGGCGTTCTGAGTGGCCTGCACTGGCGGCAGCAGGCAGAAGAGATGGTGCGCGGGCGCGTCGGAGAGCATCTGCAGGTCGTTTGGCGAATTCTGGGGGCAGAGAAGAACAAGTAGTGCACCTGAGACCTAACACGTGTTGGCACACAGTGGCGGTAAATACTTCCACTGGGAGCCCACCTTCAGGCATGCCCTCAGGGTTAACACTGAACCCTCAGAATAGCACACTTGTGGCCTTTCTTTCTCCATTTCTCTTCCGCCGTCTCCTGGGGAGTTTGCTCCACACATCAGTGCCGTAGGTGACTTCCCATTGATCATGTGCAACAGCAGGAGCTAAGGCGTCTTCTTGAGAACCATCTGTCTTTAAATCTTTAAAATCCTCATCCCCTCCAGCTAAACTTTAATTTACAACACTCCGCCTGCCTCTGGAGGAATGGCTCCATTTCAAAGAGAAGCCAGTTTATAGCCTCCTTTTGCCGGTATTTTGCCTCCAATACATGTTAATGCATCATTCTGATTTGCCGTCCCAAAGGAAAAAGATAAGCAAAATTAAATATTAATTGCAGGCGTAAATACACAAAAAATAAATAATGCACGCATAATTTACTGGGTCCATGCGGAAAGGCCTTTTTCCCCCAGAATGTCTCACGTTGTGTATTTTTTTTATTTGCCACCACCATTGTTGTTGAATAGCACTATCATGATAAATAATGATAAAGTGGCTGAATGGACATGCATACCTTGTAATGTGAGGCTACGTAGAGAGACATTAGCCTATGCAGGAAAGCCTCCGATGCTTTGTGATAGCAGAACAGCGTGTCACGGTTCACATAGTAACTGTAGCTTCAAGTCAAGGAAAGCCACAACAAACCAAAAACAGACTTCCCCGGCCAACACTCACTCACCCGGAAGAACCAAAAGGTGCATACGAACTAAAGCATTTGTAAGAGCTGCCCTAATGCACAACTCAATGTTAGCCTGGGGCGAAGCAAGAGAAAGGAACACGAGATGGAAAGTGAAAACTACTTTGCCTTAAAGTACTGGCAGTTCACGCACAATGACGAATGTCAGGACCACATGGGGAATGTTTCTTTACGAACTGTTACACCGGCAAATGGATTCCCCCCCCCCAACCCCCCAAAACCAGAGGGCAACAACATTTTCACTGCGACGAAGAAAAAGCCATCTGAGAAATTGCACACCGTGAAACGGGTGTTGAAATGTTGAGAACGAGCGCCTAAGAAATTCTGTTTACGGACGGTTACAACATTCAATGACACCACAGCATTTAACAGCAGCATTGAGATCGGATACAGGTCACAAGTGTCAGGGACAGGGCATCCCACGGACACACGCTGGATGTTGAGGCAGTCGAGACACAGCAGGTCGTTCAGCCATTTCTCCACGGGATCTCCGGGCGCGTAGCGAATCGACTCGTCCAACGTGACTTCGTGGAGGGTCCGTGCTGCAAAAACGAAAGCCCGTCATGGCAGAATGCACAACCTGGAAAATGCACACATCTCTTCTCCGCAATTCGCCGCCACTTAAGCAAGTCATGCAAGGGCACAAGGGTTATACGTTGCTGCAAGGCTACCTTTGTGCGCTGCAGAGGGACATTTCAGCATAGCCAGTGTTGTACTTTACCTCTGTGCTCACAGGTCTGTTCTTCCTGCCCTCACCAACCCGCACTGACCAGCGTGGTGTGGGAGTGCCTTTATCCAGCAGTAGACTGACAAAAGGGCTGTACGTGACAAGCAGGGGGATGTGTAAACCCTAACCTGCACAACAACAACAACAACGTCGCAACCCGACTTTTAATTGGTGGGTTCACACACAAAACGTACCTGACGCGAGCTTGCTCACGGCTGTGTTCTTGTTTTCCGCCTTCATTGTCACCTGGCTCTGGGAGCTCTGCTGTCTCAGCTGCTGGATCAACTTGAGCGAGAGGGAGCGACCAGTGCCTTCGTACCTGGCCAGAACAAGCGGCAATAAGACGCACGGACCTTGCACTCGGTGTCCGGCTAAAGAGCGGCATCGTTCTCACCCTACACCGGTTCTTATTGGCAAGCCCTTAACAGCCAGGATGTTGGAGCCTTTTGCTTACGGAGAGATGATTCTGGACATTCGAATTACCTTTAGCAGGCCACGCATGAACACTCGCCTGTGGACCATCCAATATTGGAGTAGATAATAACGTCTGCGTCCACCGATTATAAAGAGGTTTTTGCAGTGACACGGGTGACCGAGCATGCTAAATTTAGAAACGGAAGTTTCTAGTAGTAGTTTTTTACTCTTTAAACTGGTACAAAACTGACACCTTGATACAAGGCATCATGTTTGCAATAACCACAACACAAGCAGCCAAAATGTAAACAAAAAGAAACAACTCTGATAATGTATGCACTGTCCTTGAAGTTGATTGGTCCACACCCGAGACAGCTTTTCTTAGAGCCTAGTCCCCATTGGTGTTGGACCAGATGACGCCAAAAGGCGTACAACTCAAAGACAGCGCACTATCAGAGTATTGAGAGCTCGGGGTAAGCATTTACACTATGAGACCTCCTTTACCAGAGGCAAAATATAGTAGTAGGTTTTTACCCTTTAAACTGGTACAAAACTGACACCTTTATACAAGGCATCATGTTTGCAATAACCACAACACAAGCAGCCACTGGTAAAGGAGGTCTCATAGTGGAATTTTCTAGGTCGAAAATATTTCAGTTCAGTACCTGATTCGTATGGCTAAAATAGTGACGGGTAACATTTGCGGCCCGTTTTGCAGTGGTGGGCCCAATGTGGCCAAATTAAATTAATTTGCAGGGAAGGATATATTTTTAGCAATTCTGCCTTACATAAAAAGGAACCAACCAATATCGGGGGGAGGGGGGGGATACCGACTGTAAAAATAACTGGCGAAGAAACAACACTCACCCGTTAATGGTAGACGCCATGAAGACCAGGTATGGGCCGAGTAGGCTCTTAACAAGCGGAAGAGGAATGGCAGCTGCCTCGTCAATCACCACCAGTTCTGCTTGGCCCAGTTTGGCTGCGTCCCCAGGATGGATGTACTGCCGACAGCAAGTCGAAAAGCTTTAACCTCAGCAAGCCCAAATGGATTCAAAACAACTTAATCAACTGGCTCAGTGAGAGCAGAGCGGCACTCCTGCAAATACCTGGATGGTCTGCCTGTGTTCTTTGTAGACGTTGACTCTCACAATAGCTTTGTTGAACTCCGGGTTGGTGGACTGAATGATCTCATAATCCAAGTGTTCCTGCAAATGGTCAGGTAATATTATAAACATTGGAATTTTCCCTGAATGTTAATGAACGTGAGCATTTTCATTTAAGGAAAAGTTGAGATTCATTTCAAAAGGTAAACCTTTATCATATGAAGAATAAATCAGAGATATCGTGTGCATTTTTTTTTTCTTTACAGCAATGTGTCATTAGAGATCTGAAAGTGACATTGAAAGTTATACTGAACAATATCACCCTGGGCAAATCCCCGCTCACCCACAACTCTCACCTGGTACTGCAAGGCATCAAAGCCCTTGAAGAGAAACTCAAACAGCGTGTGCAGGTTGTCTGGGCTTGGCGAGGTCACAAAGATGTTGGAATACCTGTTGACGAGACAACAGACGTTGACAATAATGCAAATAACGCAAAGTCGATATTACAGTACAATGTCCTATAACCTACTCACTGGGCACCGGGATATAGGCAGATATGTAAAACAGTTGTTTACGTGAATATATAGAGAACATTTTAATTGCACTATGCACAGATTGGTTATTGGACAAATACAAAGCGCACACCGCTTTAAACATTAGGGAAAATGCCTGACTGCTTTACAAGTATGCAAATGTGCATAATGTTGAGCTCACATGGCTAAGTGTGAAAATGTCGCATTTGTGAACGGACAAAAACATTACATTTACGCCACAAGCAAATACTGCACTGGGTGCACTGGAGCTGCTCGCATGGTCAGGGTGGATACGTGACGGTCGGATGTGCGACACTGCAGCGTACTATGCAGCGGCCCAAATTGTCACAAAACAATTTTGTGCGCGCGAAGGTAGAGGTGCAGCCATAGGTGGTGGGGGGGGGGGGGGGGGGGAGAGCCTCACCCGAAGGCCACGGCACTGGCGATGGCCAAACCCATGGCGGCGGACTTCCCCCGACCACGAGCGGCCGTCAGGGCTACAGTGCTGCGCAGCGTCTTCTCCGAGATGGCCTCGATGAACTTCAGGACTGCCTTCGCCTGCAACGGCAGCAGCAGCAGCAAGAAAAACGTGGATATCTCGCTTTCTTGACACTTTTCGAAGAGGGTTGAAAAGCGTTAAAGGATCGTCTATGCTCCACTCGCCTATAACGTGAGGTCATACACAATAAGTCTCTTTCAGACGAGCCACAATATATTAAAGCATAAAATAGTTTTCCTATACGGGATCTTACCCAAAAAGAAAACTGGTCAAATTGAAGAGAGGGTTTTCCCTATAACTCAGCAATAAATAACAAAGTGCTAAAGGGAGAGCCTTTTCGGCCAAGGCGATGACGTCACATGCCGTGTGTGCCTCGACTCCCCATTACGTAACAACGTCGGATGTCATCTTGTGCGGGTTTTATATGTAATGTTATGTTTGCTATTCAAATACTTCCGTGTTTGTTTATAGAAGCTATGCATGTACATGATCTTTCTTCCTTGTACAACATTTTTTAACATAAGTAGGTTGTTACTAAATACTGTTTGGGGGGAAATGCATATGAGCAAATGGGAGAGACAATTTAATTGTGACTTTCAGTCTCAAAAGGTTTCTTTCAGTTTCATTTAAAATATGCGAGTACTTGCTCCTTTGAAAGAAGGATAGGAAACTGACCACGGCTGGAAGTCACCGCAAAAATAAATGCTGCTTTGCAGTCATGGCTTCATCGCGTAAAAGGCCTTACCTGATTAAGCGTTTTGCAGCTGCTGACCAACACACCCACAGGCTGGGTGTCTTGAAGAGACTCCTTCAGGTCACCGAGTTCAATTTCACTTGGGCTCAGGCTTTCATCCTAAACACATGATGGACATAAAGCCACGCATTTACTTTATTCTGTACAGAGCCAGGTTGCTGTGCTACTCGTTAAGAGTTGGTGCATGGTCTGACAGAATTGCAAGGGCAGTTGTCTGCGTTTTTCTTTTTTTATCACCGTTTCTGAGCACAGTTCCAAAGGCCCAAAACACCAAGCGACCAGCAACAAACAGCTCGATTTGAAGGTGTAATAGACGACAATTGAAGGTGTGTGCGGAAGCATGCCTGTGGCTTTGGAGGCAGAGGACTGATGGAGAGGGTGTGGGTCGACAAGGGAAGGATATTCAGCTGGTCGTCGATCACCATGCATGTCTTGCACGAGGCCAAAGACAAGATGAATCTAAGAGGCAGCATTAATGTATTATTCATTGGAATTTTACACATTTAAAAAACACTTTTCCCAAATTACATTACAAGTGTGCAGCTGGCATCGTGCCATGCGACAAATACATTTTTACACGTACATTTTTCTTATTCAGAACCCAGCATCATTCAGTTAAAACCGATTTCTTAAAAAGTCGAACAGCTGTCATTTAGCCAAATTAAATAACAAAAACAAATTTAACGCGATGGGTTGTTTTTTTGGCCAGTCCTCGGCGACTGGGCCGAGGACCATAAAATCATTACGCTTGGGAAAGTCGGCTTAATCACAGGTGTCTCTGCCTGGATTTCAGCCAGATTGTCAGTGATGCGAGCCAAGTGCTCGGACCCGAGACACTAGGCTCTATCTGGCTCACACACGTTAATGGGTGCACGGTTGGCTACGTATGTTGGTGTGAAAGGAGTTCAACACAGATACATACGTATATACGTCCTGCATATTGTTTTAACCCTGGTGAATGTGTACGTCCACCAGCGTGCATGAGCAAAGACACATATCCCCTGTGTAGCCTGAACAGACTGTTAGGGCAAGTGCTGTTAGCGAGCACCTATGAAGGCTGGTACGGCAACACAAGGGGGTGGGCGGCCAGCACCACGCCCGGCCGATTTTGTCTCCCCAGTGGCGATGTTTACACACCACACACTAATTTGAGGCTGAGTCGACCTAAGCAAGGCCCATGACCGGTTCAGATAGTCGTCACTGTTGTTGGCCGTGAGCGGGAATCGAACTCCGATTGCCGGGTTTGTAGCGCAGCGCGCTAACCGCTACATTATGAGCACACACACATGCATGTATTCTCAGCTCAAGTTCACTTGGCACATTCATAGACAAATCAGTGCACAAACAAGATTTTGCAGCTGTGTCATGACGTGAGTGTATAGATGATTGGAGTCAAGTTTCGTAGCAAAGAACGTTCATGGAAGTTTATTTTTTACCATAAATAGTATTTTTTTGGGGGTCATTATACAAAGCGGAAGTTAAAGCAAACAGATGCAATATTCCACTCGTCAACAGATTTTTCTATAAGTTCATAAATTACACCAACATTATTTTGAGATAAAAATTACACTTTTTACATGTTATTTTAAAAGTTAAAATGTGGCTTTAGTTACACTGCACATAGAAATAAAAAAATTCCATGACCATAAAAAAGACATTACCTCTCATTGAATCTTCCGACCACATCTTGATGCGACTCCGTCCTAAACCGAGTGTGGACATCCTGCACAATTACATGCACATCTATTAGTGTTGCATAAGTTTATATCAACAATTTACAAAAACGTATCACCTCATGTGCCCAATATCTTCAGACCTCAGAATATAAGCAGGGTTAAGCCGAGCATGTACTTGGATGGAAGACGGTCTGGAAATAGTTGGTGTTGAAAACTTGAGTTGCAAGGTGACCAGGAAATTACAAAAGAGAAAAAATATAGTCCTAAAGCTACCTGTGCAGAGCATTGAGTGCTATAGCATGCATGTGTTTTCTTTGTCGACTCTGGTTTCCTCTCGCATACATGAATGGTATTTGCTAAATCTCCAAATGCAGCACACTCCCCTGAAAAGGTAGAGTCTCAGTGAGTCACTCCTGAGTTAAGTGCATCGTCGTGATTACCATTTATCGATTGTTATTAGTGCCTTACCATGGTCATGGTGTACAGTTGCTTGAGTGAGTTCATTGTCCTGAGCAAGATGACAGCAAGTCCTCCACCCTCGACCGTTTCAATCGTTCTGGCCAACAGATTTGGTGTCATCGCCTCAAAATCCTGCAAATGAAACGACACAGAAGGCAAGGCCGTCGTAATTTGGGAAAATAAAACATTGATACGTTTACATTGTTACATCTGTATATGCTCAGGTTGACATTATATTCTTGGTTCTTTCGGTAAAGTCACGTAGAATGGAAATAATAAAATAATAAAAATAAAACATAATAAAATAATTCTCACGACGTTTCGGCCACAACGCAAGCAGCCGTCCTCAGGTGAAGAACAGGTCTGTCGGAAAGACAGCGTCTGAAATTCAGACGCTGTCTTTCTGACGTGAGAATTATTTTATTACGTTTTATTTTTATTATTTTATTATGTCCCTTCTACGTGACTTTACCGAAAGAACCAAGAAGATGAATCCCTGCAGTCACGAAAGCTTTAAATCGAAACCAAGATATACATTATAACTCCATAGGCTCTCGGGATTGTGCTGTAGAAGCGCTCTGATGTGTTATTAGGCTGTACCGTGTTTTTTTTGGCATGAAATTCAAAAACATTTTGGCCAACACGCTGGGAGATGCTCCCCCAGAACGTGCAGCGAAATGTTTAACATCATAACGAACAACATGCAGAACCCGAAAACACATCGACGAGCTTCTGCATCCCACTCACCTGCAGCACGCACATGCCAAAGGTATTTCCCAAAATCTTGTGCGTCTCGTTGTAGTAGCAGTATCGGATGTTGGTCGCTGCCACGAACAGTTCAAATGGATCATCGTGCTTCACATCCAGCGTTCCTGTCTGCAGTTTCTTCTGAAGCTGGCGCATCCTCTTTTTCCGGTGGCTGCACAACAAAGGTGTAATACTCGTTGAAAATGATGGTCTCCTTCAGCGCAAATATGGAATGCTACTTAGATACGAGCAAAAGCAATCCCAAGAACAAGATGTCCTCACCAACACTCTTTACCCTCTCAGGGTAAGAGCACATTTATAGAATGCTGCATTTTTAGCTTCAAGATATCAAATGGAATTATTTTTTTACATTGGTTGAAATCTTTTTGTTTTTATTCACAAGAGGAGCAGTGGGCCAGAGGTTTGCACACATTGCTCCAAGAACCTGGCGACATGAGTTTGATTCCCTGTCACTGCTAGCGTCAGTCAGAAATATTCAGCACTCGGGTCCTCCCTTAACAACCGCGTACTGACCAGCGGTAAAGTTCGATTAAATAACCCCCCATGACTGGCAAGCGACAGGGAAGCCTACATCCAGAAGTGATTGGATTAAGAAAGGGATGTCCGCTATTATGTTTCAATTAGTAAAGGGAGAGTAAAATGTAGAGGCGATAACACCAAGCGCAGACACGTAAGACAACTGATGACAATGTATCCGGTACATGCTTCACTGGAGAATTGTTACCTGCTGAAACCCAGCTCTTTCTTGTAGCACCACAGCACTGATGGGCGGGCTTTGACCGCAGCCTTTGACAACATGTGATGTAAAATAACAACCTACACAAAATAACACATGACAAAAAAGGTAATCATTTTCTTGTTAGGATAGATTGTTTTTCTTACAATTCAGCTGTGCACATGTGTGACATATGTAGACCACCACGCTGGCGAGTCATGTTGTGAATTCACAAATTACTTACCTGGTCTTTTCCCTTGTCTCCCACAACCACAAAGAGGGTTCTGTACTTCTGGCTGAATCCATTCTCTATCAGAACTCGGATGCGGTTGTCCACCTTTTTGCGAGACATCCTTGAGGCCTAAGACGGCAAAAGACACGTGTGATGAGGAGGCTGCAGCCCGTTATGCACAATGGCTCTTTAACCCAGTGCAAAACCTTAAGTTATTGTACATGTGTTGCATTTATAACTTATCACTTATTCAATCCAATACCCCCGTCACATCGATGGCAGGAGCACACTGATATTACTGACATTACATGTTGTCCTTCCCCCGCATCTCCGACGAGCACGGTTGGCTACGTATGGTGTGAAAGAAGTTCAACATACACACAATGCTTGTATAGAACCTCCCCCGAGTACACGCAACATTAAAACAGATCACAAACTACCGAGTGCTCCGTTATCTCTTCAAATCTCAAATGACGTACTGTAACACTAACGAGTATGGTGATAATCACTGACAGGCCAGACCTTGCTAAAGTCTGAAGTGGTGCAGTCCTACTTAAATTCCGCAGGAAAATATTGATCCAGAAGGTCCAATGGGCTGCTGTATCATGTTTTACGTGCTGAGAAACATGTGTTATTTTATAATAGTCACGCACATTCAAGCCCGCCTTGCAATGTCAAGATGAATTGGCTCTCGTCTAATAAAAGTATTTAACCGCACTTATAGGTACAGTACAAACTCGAGAATCGCCTGGTTTAAATAGAGCGGCAAACCCCTAACCCGACCATAACGTAGTACGCACAAACCGAATGTCAGCTACCTGCGGCTCTTTAGGGATTGCTTCGGGACGTCATTTATTACGGAGCATCTCGTATTCACGTGCACTGCGGCTCTTGAAATATTGAGTTGTGTTTTCTTTACCCAATTCGTAAAAACAATGGCTATTCTTGTTCTTTTGGTTTACAATCCCTGGCATAACCGTACATTCTAACAGTAACAGTACAAGGCGTGTGTGTTGAAGTTCCTTCGCACCGTACGGAACCAACCATGCTAATTGGAAAGGCTTTAGAAACTGCGGGGCCAGGGAAGAAATGCGACTCACATCACCTACTATCGCTGCAATTCACAACCCCATGGGGGTAATCACAGAGGCAAACATAGTGAGCATACCTGTCAACCTCTGATCACTGCCTTACTTATTAGACCAATTCAGACCTCATAGGTCACCCCGTGCCCTTATAAATATCAACGTTCATCCTATGAAGTCCCATCACAATGGAGAAACACAAACACATATACAAAATGTGCCCGTATTGAAACAGCTATACCGCTCTATGGACTTGCAAACTCAATTTCCCCCGTACTAGAATACGGGGTGAACCCGTATGGGTTTATACGGTATGGTACTATATACTACTATAATACTACACAACTGTCAACCCCCTCCTTATCAGTACCTACCTTATAACAGACCAATTCAAACCATATTGGTCACTGCGTTCCCTTATGAATCTCAACGACCATCCCACAAAGGGAGAAACACGGATAACTTTAGACGCTTTTGTTGCTGCCCGTATTGAAACGACTGTACCGCCGCATGGACCTGCAAACTCTATCCCCCCCCCCCCCCCCCATATAAAAATACGCGGTTTAAACCTCGTGTGTTGACCCGATACGCGTTATAAGTTGTATCGCCTTACCGTGGTGGGCGATGCACGCACGTGGTTGCTGATGCTGCTGCTGGGCACTTGGCGGCACAGGCCACCACGTGTTGTGCGCGGAGCTAACGAAGGACCCCAGCCCCTCCCCCTTCCCCCGGGCTGCACGCGGAAGTAAAAAAAAACCCAACGTGGCCGTAGGCGTCCGGTGTGCTCGCCGTGCTGCCTGAAATAGTAGAAGAAAAACAGCAAATATATATTTAAAAAAAATAAAACTCACCGTTGTGACATAGTTTTTCAGATGAGATGTGGGTTTTTTTTTGTTAACCTCCAACTCTCGAGTTTGCATTTAATTGAGTGCGTTTTTAAATATCAATTTAACCACAAATAAAAGTTAGTTTTTAGCAAAAGGAGGTTATGTATAATTCCTAACACGTTATGCAATAACTGCTATTCCGTGGGCGTATTATAAGACAGACAAGGAAGAAAAACCATGCATACGCATGCGTGGTTATACACTTATATAGTATTTACGTTATACTGGCAGTAAACTCCTGGTTACACCAGCCCACAGGGGATGATTGTGTCCGTCCGTCGTGTAGGGAGGGGCTGGGTGGGGAGGGGCTGGGTGGCGAGGGGAGGGGCTGGGTGGGGAGGGTGGGGCTGGGCGGGGGGTGGGAGGGGAGGGTGGAGCTGGGTGGGGAGGGGAGGGTGGGGCTAGGTGGGGAGGGGCTGGGTGGGGAGGGAAGGGTGGGGGGGGAAGGGTGGGGCTGGGTGGTGGGTGATGGGGCTGGGTGGGGAGGGGCTGGTCACCCCGTGGTGCCCTTATAAAACTCAACGTTTAACCTACTCACGCCGGCTTGTGCTCGCCCTCACAGTTGGGCATATTTGCGGAATGCACCACGCCGCCGTTGACCCTGGCCATTGACCGAGCAACCCAACGTTCCTACCAGCTCCCTCCGCAGGAATGTGTTACAACGTGTTTGCACTCAGGCGTTCCGTGGGTATTAGCAGTAGAGAAATGGCAGTAGCCAAAGCATAACGCGTTTGCATATTTGCTCATAATAATGATTTACCTTCTGGATATGCAAGACAACGCGTAATCAGATTATTTGCTGCTGATGCTGCTGCGGATGGCAGTGGTGCACAAAGCACAATGAACAAAACCCGAGCACATTCGTCAATGACGGTGCTTCAAAAGTATATAATAGACGACGTTTCGGGCAATGGCCCTCTCCATGTGCTCTAAAGAGGGCAATTGCCCGTTGCGTATTGTATGTCTAGCTTTCTATATGTCTAGATTTTTGTTGTCGTAAGGCAGTGTTCATAATAGAGGGTTTTTTTGGAGTTAGATCGCATAAATATATAAATGTGTCGTTAAACCCGCCACCACCCGACACAGCCAACTAGTAAGGGTTGTCACGTAAACAGAACGTGGCCAATTCGTCACTAGTACAGCACTACACCGGTGTGTTGGAGAGCCAAGCTACAACAATTACAATCTGTAATTACAACTATCTTCATCAGACAGCCAGGTTTTAACGATACATTAATATATTTACGCGATCTAACCCCAAAAAAAACCCTCTGCTATGGATGATATTAAACTCAGGCAGTGATGTTGACGAATGCTGGGTGTGTCTGTGCAATGAGCTCGTCATGCCTCTGAGCAGTGCTTTCACGCCATCCAGTGGCAACATCCAAGCATTGCCTGTTCAAACCTGCAGTGTGGCAATCACTACAGCAGAATACATAAACAACATCCCGAGTGTCTTCCACAATGTTGTGGCTTCGATGTTGTTGGCCCTTACTAATTCATTCTGCAGGGCACATTTTTACTTTCCACCAGCCACCCTTAACATGTATACACGGCGTTAGTAATACATCCTCACGCGTTTTGTATTCTCAAACCCATTCTGTGCTGTCATCATCAGCCAGTATTTATCCCCTGCTGGATGATTGACACTTCAACAGCGAACACAATGCCCGTATAAACAGGCCAAGTACGTGTCAACCAGCTAGTACTTGCATGTATGATACATGCACAGCCTTTTTTATTCATTACTATTCATAGCCACGTGTCAGAGGAGTACGTAAACTGAAAGTGGTAGCCAAATTAACACTGCAATGTTGCCATGTTTACCCACGCATTTTATGACGACCACGATTGAATACTAAAGTGGTCTCCCAAAAGTACATCCATCACGCATACCGTTATCCATGCAAACGTGCAGATAAAAAGAGTAATTTCGCTGGAAGTGGTGAGACGTATTCTATTAACCGTGTTTACCATTGCTTCTTTGTGCAGTTAATAATCACAATAGAAGAATGTGTGGATTACTGTCGATTAATGAATTCACCAATTCCCACGTCTATAATAGTGCAGATAGGTGTCAATAATAGAATACATTTCTAAATAGACCGTTTTTTTACAAAGCAATTATGGCACAGAACATCACAATAAATTAAGTGTTGGCCAAGGAGAGGAAAAACTCAGAAGTAAGACTATTTAGAGCAACGAAAGCCAGAGGCAATACATGCGCCTTGAGGCGGGGATTAAACACCACCGTTGTTTCCGAATTATGCAATTCTACTATGATTGTTTTTTTTTATAATTTAAAATGTCTTTATGGTACATGTACTAAGTTAGGTTTTGCAGATTTTCTTTTTGTCATAATCCCCTGTGAAGAAACGTAATTTGTGCTTTATATTTTAAGTTGCATTTTTTTCCTGTGCTCATGTTATACGTGTGTTCTTCTTCTTGTATGTAACCTATGTCTTTCTTGCCAAAGACTCTTAATCCCATAAAATATTTGTTGACATACAACGTCCTTTGGAAACAAATAATCGGCCAAATCCAACACGACGTATCAAGGTTTTGTAACACGAACCACAGCAATGAATTATATTTTAAAGTATATATTGCCAGAGGTGAAAGACACGATCGTAAACATGGACACTTACGGAATTAAATTAGCATTATAAAGGTTAACATTCAAAGTGTAACATATACCCAATGTTCGTGGTCCTTTCGGTTACGTCACGTAGATAAAAAATAAACTTAAATTTTAAAAATCTATTAAAATTTAAAATATTTTGTATTTACATTTATTGTAATTATTTTTTTTCTTTAATTAAATTAGTATTTTCTATCTACGTGACTTTACCGAAAGAACCAAGAATATGAAATCCTGCAGTCACGAAAGTTTTAAGTCTAAATATACCCAGTGGTACACTTAAAGAGACGTCAAAGAGAGCATACGTTTCAGGAAACAAACGTAACCTTTTTTAACAATGTACAGTATTCAGGATCCACACCTCTGTAAAAAAAAGGCAAGGGTGACAGCGTGGCAGTAAACACAATATAACAAAGATCCATAATAGAGGTTTTCGGGTGAGATCGCGTAATTATGTGTCGTTAAACCCGCCACCACCCAACAGCCAATTCGTAATGTTTGCCACGTAAACAAAACATACCAATTCAGCACACCGGTGTATTGGAAAGATAGAACACCATTACAAACATAGAATAACATTCACGTGAGTGTAATTTAAATGCGTTTTTCAACACGAACATTACATTACAAGGCCTCATTGGAAAATACCAGTAATGTATTCATATTAATTGTGCATTACGTTACTGGATATCTATAACCTGATTATAATACTGCACTGCAATATACTATGCAACACAATAATCTTAACACATCCGTCAATAACAGTGGCCTTAAAAAGTAAAATTATATCATACAGGCAAAGTTTCAGGACCCCACTTTTTAAAACCGTGTTTTATTCTTCCTAATCATACCAACGTCGTCCCTCTTTGGCTCTTTATTTCCCCATGAAGTTATTCCTTCCTTTAATACTTTTCTCTTTTTCACGCAAGGCGCATTGGTACGTCATCGCGAAAGGCACCCTTACAAGTTGCACGTGAAGTATACTTTGTTGCACCACTGAATATCCACAACGCATTATCACCGAATAAACATCGTTCTCTATGCCGCGACGTGCCAATTCCACACACACTGTTGATGAAGAGATCGTACATCGATACTCATACCTGTCAACCCATACGGGTTACCCGCGTTCTTGTACAGGGGAATTGAGTAAAAACAATGGGTTTGTCTATTTGTTTGTTTGTGATTCTCCCTTGTGGATGGGACTTTGAAGGATGAACTTTGAGATTTATAAGGGCACGGGATGACCAATACGGTTTCAATTGGTCTGTAATAAGGTAGCTAGCACTGATAAGGGGTTGAGAGGTATGGATACTGTATACATATTTTAAAAAGGGGGTGAATGCATTCACTGGTAGAACCTGTATGCTGACAAAATAATCGTTTCCGATATATGCCACGTGTCATTGCCAATGAATGTCACGGTGTTGCTGAACGCGTTTGGGTTGCCGTGATACGCAGTGTAACAACAATCCATTCAAAAAAACACGGGGGAATTGGTGAACAAACACACATTGATTGGACTGTTCACAACAGTGAGGTTGGCTTAGGCAGGGAATATACAGCGTCTTCGGTGAGAGGGTAGGAAAGACGCTGAACGGATGCGGCTGTTGACGCAATTTCGAAACAAGAAGTGAAAAGGAGCCACCAGAGACGCAGCTGCGATGATGAGACGCAAACTCATGAGCAGGAACGAGACGGGTCGCTCCGATGCAGGAGCGCTGTCGTGGCGAGAGGGGTTAGATCTAGAGCGTGGGGACGTGGGCAACTTTATCCCGCAGTGGGTAGAGTAGGAGCACGTGCGGCTTACGCCGGTAAGTCCGCACACGTGTGTACAAGTTCACCGTCGTCGTCAGCCAGTGTCTATCCACTGCTGGATGATCATCACCTCGACCACACGCCTTGTGGTGCTTATTTGGCCATACTTTGCCACGCTGGTAAGTTGCAGGGTTGGTGAAGCCGGGCAGCATTGGACGTTTAGTTGAAGTGTATAAACAATGGAATTGTACACAACTCTCCTCGGCTGTCCACAACACTTAAGCGGTCTGATGACAAACAACGTGATGCATGTACGCATGGTGGTTATCCATCCGACATATACACGGGTTCAACACTGCTTAACTGCCGAAACGACAAAAATATGTAACAACAACTACTACATTTGCTGGAGCACACAACAAGCTCAAAATAACCCACGCGACAAAATTAATGGCCAAGCGACAAACAGCACTGTTCAAGTTACAACAGATAAAACAATAGATTCAAACAGGAGTTCGTTCACACATTTTCTCGCATTGACCAAGGCTGTTTGAGCACTTCGATGGGGAGAGGCGATGGGCAGGGAAATTCCAAATCGTCGAGCAGTGAGTGCTCGGGAATTGAAACAACAACAATGAAAAGGGAATGACGACCTGCCAGATCTGGCTGGCTGAACACCAGCGCGTTTTAGAGACGCGGTTTTTAGAGCAGATCTGGTGGGTGGGAGGGTGCATTCCGGGTTATGGTATTTGGACATGGGTTTGACCACAGCGATTGCAAATCGCCAAGTCAAAAAAAAATGCCGGGACGCGAATTGGTCGGCCAAAGGGCGTTTTTTGTTCAGTGAGGACACCAAAAAAATCGCCTCCCCCCCCCGGTTTCCCCCAGTGCTGTGCGCTGTGCGGAGAAGTGCGGTTAACCTTGAGCTTACAACTCGACTCACAGAAGCTTGTCCTCTCAAACTGCTGACCACCACGACACCGAAGAGGTGAGTTTGACCATCATCGTCATGTCATGATCCATCAACTGCTGGATGAAGGGCTACCCGAGCCGTCCGGCATCTGGTCACGGGTGCAGCGATACAACGGGCTTCTTTCGAAATGGAAAGTGTGGTTAGCAAGATTTATGGTGTGCAGGGTGATCCAGATGTCTCGTGACCTCCCCCACTTAATTCTCTAAAACGTAATAATCGTTGCATGCCGATGGGTGCGAAAGCGGAAATGAATGCGCAAAGGGCAACAAAAATTAACCCGTAAAAACAAAGTTTTTCACTATAAATCCTTTATAGGCAGGCGTGGCATCGGGGCGGCTAGAGTCCTCTCGTCCTCTGGCTTGAGATGGCTGCCACCTATGGGTCAGATGATTGCATTGCACCATTAAGCAATTGGTAATTAAATATCATATTTTTGTCCTAAAAAGTGTAAAATTTTGGGAAATTTTTTTTCACGAACATTAATTGTCACGCACAACGAGTCTGTGTGGAAAATGTCAGCTCGATTGGATCACGGGAAGTGGGTTAAAAAACGACCGAAAGATTTGCACGGTCCTAAGCAAGCAAGCGAACTTAATATAAAGGATTTAAAAAGCCAGGGGTCAATTAATTGGGGAGGGGGGGGAGGTCCCAATACTTCTGGACAACCGTGTACATATCGAGGTAATAAAGCCATTCGATAGATCTCTGCGGAGGTTTGGTGGATGTCGCTGGTTTATTATCCGTGGGCACGCGTTGTTTGTTGGGTTACATGCCCCATGCTCTGTCTGGCACTGGTGACAGCGGCAGGTCAAGTAGTCAATGACATTGCTTCGATTAACACGACGGCCGCATCTGCCATGCACTTCGAAATGAAACAATCCACCAGCACAGCGACGTTGATGACTCATCCCCTCGCTGGCTGACATCTCAGACGCTTTATGAAACAACTCCCTCTTAGCAGCCGCGAATTGTATTCCTCTTATCCGATGATATTATCGCGGATAACATCATTGATTAATATCATTCATCTACTGCACGATTCCTGCTAGCTCATTTGTTTTGAGTCTCTTCTGCGCGTGTTCTGTGTGTGTCCTGCCCAAGCCCCGCACACATAAGGGAGACGTTTCTCTGTCTCTCTCCCGTCTCTCTGTCTTCCTCTGTGCAATTGTCGCGTGTCTGTGAGCGTCTTCCCCTGTTGATGCGTCTCCGTGAGTTTATTCTTGGAACTAGGGGAGCGGTGGTGTAGGGGTTAGCGCTACGAACCTGGCGACCCGGGTTCGATTACCGCTCACGGCGAACACCACCAGTGACGATTATTTGAACCGGTCCTGGGCCTCCCCTAGGTCGACTCAGCCTCAAATGAGTACCTGGTGTGGCGTGTAAACATCATCACTGGGGAGACGAAGGCGGCAGGGCGTGGTGTTGGCCACCGACCCCCTTGTGTGCCGTGCCGACCTTCATATGTGGTTACTCGCTAACAGCTCTTGCCGCAACAGTCTGTGCGGGCTGTACGGGAGATTCATAATAAAGTTTTTGGGTTAGATCACGTTATTTATAAATGTGTCGTAACCCTCTGCCACCCGACACGTTGACAAAAGACAACTAGTTCACTACTTTAGCCTGGCCAAGACGTGTCAAGTCCAAGACGTGTCCTGCCCAAACCACACTTTTATTAACAATTTTGGAATGTTCACATCACAAACGTGCTCCTCTTTCTCATTTTAATTTCATGTACTGTATTAATCACCCAATTCAACACGTATATTTCAGTTACAGTACATTTGTAAAAAAAAACTATTTTAAAGCTGTTTTCTTGATGGGATGAAAGGCCTTGTGTGTTGTGTTACCTCCTGAGTTGTAGACGTCTTCCTCCATCACCAGGCAGAATTTGTTCATCGTGAATTGTGTTAACTCCCACCACTGTACCTAATGTCCTCACTACATGGTAAAGTTTATTGCACAGCATATATCACGCGTGTGTGTATATATATACAATAATTGGAAATTGAAAAGTAGTCCGTTATATATTTTTTCCAGTTCTTAATTTTCAACAGTTTGTAACAAGGTAAATAAAAAATGCGCAGCCCTGCAATTTCCTGTTCACGTCACTGCTGGCGAAAGGGCCTCCCAACTTGTGTTTTGAGGGAGCTCTTTGTCCAGCTTCTAGAATCTGAATGGTCCTTTAGACCTCCTCGTTCACGCTGGCCAGGAATGTTGTAATGTAATGTGATGACCGCAATAGGCGAGACTGCTCTCTCATGCATGTGTTACTCTAACCCAGCGGGGAATTTAACAAATATATCATTCACTCTACTCCTGTCATACCATTTTACAGGAAGATACTTATACCGTCCTAAATTTCTTGCGTTTCGTCCGCATTTGAAATTATGTAACGATTTGTAATGTACATGTCAACATTCTTCACGCCCAATCTTCTAAGATCTCGGGAGGGTGAAAGCAGAAGTTGAGCCACGATTATTTCTCGGAGAGTTGACCACCGTGTACAGAGAGTGCATCGCATTCTCGTAGGCGTCTTCGTCTTCGAGGCTGTTGCTACACTTCGATTTAAAGCTTTCGTGACTGCAGGGATTCATCTTCTTGGTTCTTTCGGTAAAGTCACGTAGAAGGGAAGTAATAAAATAATAAAAATACAAATAAAACATAATAAAATAATTCTCACGACGTTTCGGCCACAACGCAAGTAGCCGTCCTAACCTGAGAATTATTTTATTATTTTTTATTTTTATTATTGTATTACTTCCCTTCTACGTGACTTTACCGAAATAACCAAGAAGATGTTGCTACACTGTGCAGGGCAGAGGAAAGTGCAGCAAAAAAAATGCATTGTTGTGCTGCACTTCCATGCTCCCACGTCTATTTCTCTCCACTTCCCCACGGCGTGGTTAGGCCCTCATCAATCCAATCCAAGGCAGCGGTAGACCCTGTATGGACTGCAGCAATATCGCCAGCGTGCGTGCGTGGATGGCGCACTCGGCGGCGATGCGTTTGATGGTTTGGGCTTCACCACAGTTGCAGTTTGGTGATTCTTTGATAGAGGCTGAATTTCTCACGACAACATTTTTCCTGGAATAAGTTGCACGTGTGGTAGCAGAACGCAGCCACATCGAGATGTGTACTGAATGTGGTGTGCCGGGTGCAGAATTGATGTCCGGATACACCCTGGATGAAATATGTGTACAGGGACTCCTCTACTTACGAACGAGCTAGGTTTCAGAAGTCTGTTCGTAAGTCGATTTGTTCGTAAGTCGAACTTTACTCCTGTCGATTCCAAACATGTTGTACGGCCTGTACACTAAACACGGGGAATGGCTTTGAAAGTGTTATCTCATTTAGTTGTAGATGCCTCTTGTTCTTCATGTTCTGCAGAAATAGATGCCACTGGTTATTCATGTTCTGCAGATGTAGATGCCACTGGTTCTTCATGTTCTGCAGATGCAGATGCCACTGGTTCTTCATGTTCTGCAGAAGTAGATGCCACTGGTTCTTTATCTTCTGCAGATGTAGATGCTAATTCCCTTTGATGCTCGTGTTTCCTCTCTACCCTCTTGAAAAACTTAGCAAGAGATGTCTGCATAGTTGTTCTCTTCTTCTTTTCATAAATTAACTTGTAATAAGCAAGAACATCGTAAACAGCTGGAACTGGACATTACCTACGATAATCACCCAGAAATGTCTGTCCGTCCCATGCGTGACGTCACTCCACGAGGCCCACCCCCCTGTGTGACGTCACTCCACATGAGTCCCACCCCCTCCCCTTCATTAATACTCATGAGTGGGTGGATTTTTACACGAACGCAGAGGCAGGTCGAGCTGAATTAAAAAATTTATTACAAAAAGTCGCTTCAAATATGATGTTTCTTTACAGAAAGTGACGGTAAAAAATGTTACGTTAAAGCATAACGACGCATAGAGATTAATTTTATTAAAGGTTAACGCAGATTAAAAACTAATTCGGTTATCTGAATGAAGCTAGCCTTTTTGCTTAAACGTCAGCTCTGGTCTATCCACTGCTGGATAAAGTCCGCACCCTACATCATAGCCATCTCTCAAGATCCTGCCGATGCCACAATCCATAACTTCTCTTCCGACATAGTTTTTTTTTTATCCGAGCTATGGACTTTTGTGAGGGTCAATGTTACGGTCACACAACTTGCTGCAAAATAATCATTAACTTTTTATGAGAATAAATTATGCTTCTATTAGATATTTGTAAAGGGCTGCTAAAAGATACTTTCCAATATATGTATTTTCTCTGTAGCTCCAAATTAATGGAGGGGGGGGGAGGTTGAAGGGGGGGGGGGGGTGAGATTATGACTTGTAACATTATAATTTTCATTTCAACCGGTGTTTTTATTCTAACGTCAATATAAATGAGAACTCAAATCATGCGCGCGTCCAGCATGAGATCAAGTGCTAACTCCCTCGTTTCGATTTAAAGCTTTCGTGACTGCAGGGATTCATCTTCTTGGTTCTTTCGGTAAAGTCACGTAGAATGGAAATAATAAAATAATAAAAATAAAACATTATAAAATAATTCTCACGACGTTTCGGCCACAACGCAAGCAGCTGTCCTCAGGTGGAGAACAGGTCTGTCGAGAAGACAGTCTGAATGACACACCCCAGGCTTGGAGCGACTATTTAAGCTGGGATGGAGGGGCGAAGAGCGCCTTGACAAAATAATTAGCATATCAAGAGGAATTTAACATATTTATTATAATTATTTAATGTTTTTTTCAAATTATTTTATTATTTCCATTCTACGTGACTTTACCGAAATAACCAAGAAGATGAACTCCCTCGTTGTTTGCAGATGGCTGCGGCTCCTCAGATCCCCGAGATTATCCGCATTAAACGGGACGGCGGTGTCCTGAAGGACGCGGACATCGAGTTCTTTGTTCAAGGAGTGGCGAAGGGAACCATACAGGACAGCCAAATCGGTATGTGAGCAGAGTCGCCACTCGTGCATGGTGGCGGTGACGTGTGTACATGCGGTAGAACCCCTGTTAACGACTAATCGCTTAACGACTAATCGCTTAACGGGCCTCCATGGATCCCAATGTGTAGTGTATAGTGTAGTGTATTGTAGTGTATAGTAGTGTAGAGTGGAACTCCTCTAAACGAGCACAAAATCGCTTAACGACCGGTTTCTTGGAACCAATTACCGTCACTAAAAGCGGTTCTGGTGTATGTTTGTTGAACTTCTTTCGTACCCATAATAAACGTGTTTGGGGTTAGATCGCGTAAATATAAATGTGTCACGAACCCACCACCACCCGATCACCACTACCCAACGCAGCCAATAAGCAAGGTTTGTCACGTAAAGAAGACGTGCCAATTAGTCACGACTGCAGCAAGTCGCCGCGTTGGAGAGTAGACCCACAGCACTTACAACTTGAGCAACGACGTTTCGCTGGTGGTCACAGCAATCGGGTGATTCTGGAAAATCGCCTGATGAAGGTGGTTGTAGTTGATACTGCGGGTGCATTAACCAGAGGATCACACCGTCTGCTTCGCAGTGGATGTTAAAATATCCCATGATGTTATTTTAAAAAGAGTAGACCATGCGTGCCGGCACCATGGTCAAAATTTGCTACGTTTAAAAAATAATGACCTGCAAATTACTTAATTGGGTAAACCGACATTGCGACACCATCACCTGCTGGCAGACTTTGCCCATCTGTAAAACATGGCACCTTGTGCGATCTCGTCTCATAACTACTACGGCTGTGAACACCAACTGTGCCGAATTACTATCACAGTATTTGAGTGTGTAAATATCACGTAGAAGGGAAATAATAAAATTATAAAAATAAAACATAATAAAATAATTCTCACGACGTTTCGGCCACAACGCAAGCGGCCGTCCTCAGGTGAAGAACAGGGCTGTCGGGAAGACAGAGTCTGAATGAAACACCCCAGGCTTGGAGCGTATATTTAAATATACGCGTTGTGGCCGAAACGTCGTGAGAATTATTTTATTATGTTTTATTTTTATTATTTTATTATTTCCCTTCTACGTGACTTTACCGAAAGAACCAAGAAGATGAATCCCTGCAATCACGAAAGCTTTAAATCGAAATATGTAAATATCATTTTGTGGCCGGCAAAAAACGGCACAAATTGTCCGTCCTCTTTTTCCGCGCGCAGGAGCAATGCTCATGGCGATACGGCTGCAAGGGATGAACGCAAGTGAGACCGCGGTGCTGACGCGTGCAATGCTGAGCTCAGGAGAACGCCTGCCGTGGCCCAAGGAGTGGCACGGGCTGGTGGTGGACAAACATTCCACCGGTGGGGTCGGTGACAAAGTGAGCCTTTCCCTCGCGCCGGCGCTCGCCGCCTGCGGATGCAAGGTTTGCGCAGTCACTTTCACGTGTCCTCGTGTGTGCCGCTCTGTGCGTTAACCTTTTTACCCATTCCGAGACGTCTGCAAGTTGTAGGGTGGGTGTCCCGTTCGCCTCTGAATCTCGGAACGCGCGAGCCGCTCGGCGTTAATTTTATTTAGAGAGGCATTGCGGCGCCCTTTTTAAAGACATTGTACTCACCGCAAAGAACTGTAGCGACATGACCGCACTCTATGATAGCTGACGCCAAATTGTGCCACACGCACCCCGGCATGGCCTTGTGGGAGCCTCAGTACAGATGAAGTAATTTTAATTTGTTTTTCTTTCGGTTTCGTTTTGACGACGTACACATAAATTATCGGAAGAAAAACTGATGACGTACACATACACGTACATCATCAGAAATGGAAAAGGGTTAAGCGGACCATGTCTAAGGTCACATTTTTACAAAGTGGTGTCTCTGCTCGTTACTATTCAGCAAAGTAGGACTATCTCGGTATGTTAAAAGAATAGTGTAATAAACAAAACATTATCATATACAGCCCTTTATCAATCCCAGAACGAATTCAGATATCCCTCACCCGTTATATCAGCAGAGTGTGGGAACCACTGCGCCACCACTCCCACCCTTTATTTTATACTTTGTGTCACACGTCTTTAGTATTCCTAAGTACGTAACTTTATAAAATGCAACAATTACTTTGTGCCATGAATTGCATATTTGACACCCAGTGTACAGTAACATAAAGTCCCACTGACCGTGCTTTGCGGGGATGTTTAAAACTCGCTCATCGCACTCTACCTGGGATGCCGCGCTAACAGGTGCCGATGATCAGCGGGCGAGGGCTGGCCCACACGGGGGGCACGCTTGACAAGCTCGAGTCCATCCCAGGGTTCTGTGTGCAGCAGAGTCAGCAACAGGTGAATGTGACCACGGCAGAGGCCCTGTGCAAGTGATTGGGGCGCCGCGGTGGCTGGGAGATGTTAACTTCCTTGCCTGGCATGCAGGAGGTCGTGATTTCGATCCCGACCCTGACGCCTGCTGTATATTTGGAGTTTGCATGTTCTCCCCGTGGTCGCGTGGATTTTGCTCTGGGTCCTCCCGTTTTCCCCTCCACATTTAGAAACACGCTTCGAGAGTATTTGGTTGCTATACAATTCCACATAATAAGTCACTTAATTGAGCTATCATTTGTGGCCAAATCGCTTCCGAAAAAGAGCTATATAGCTCAGAGGGCCTTACCTGGTGAAAAAAGGATATATATGTAACATTGAGCTGAAATCTAAAGGGGCAGCCCTGCGATTATTTGTTTTGCTCACACCAACTGCTGGTGGAAAAGCCTGGATGAGTGTGAGCGCTAGAGGGTGTTTGGTCTACTTTTCCACGATGGCCGGATGCCTCGGAAGAGGTGAAAGTACCCACACTCGTTCCCACCAAACACAACCTGCTGATCAACGAAACCATATTGTACCTATTTACACTGCTGGCTGAACAAAGGTTTCCATTGTTGAAGCTTCTGCGGCTGGAGAATTAACTGAACCAGTGACCTCTGGCTCTACAAGCCCAGTGTGCTAACCACCACACTTGTTGAACATGAGCTACTGCTACATAAGCTTTTTATATTTGCTAGATTAAAAGTGTCGTCATGACACACAGCATGTTTTTGTCTTTAGTCTTCCACGCGCATGCAATAATACGAGTGAAATGGGAACTCAGAGTGGTTTCATGTTGCACAGTTGTGTCGAAACCGATTCTGGCACTGCACGCAATCTAGATTGAAAACTCATTTCTTTAGAACTGCTGTTTGTGTTTAGTTTTGTTGTCTTTCCCCCCCGCACCTCCGATTAGCACGGTTGGCTATGTACAGTGCGAAAGAAGTTCAACATACGTGCGTAAATACGCAATGCCTGCTAAACCAAAAACGGATTGCATATTTGGCAAGACGGCTTTTGAAAATAACCACGCAGCATGTACAGTATAAATGAAAACGTTGTTGAATAAAGCATGATCAATTGAATAAACACTTGATGTGTAGTTCTGTGGGTGTTATCTTCCTCGCCATAACTTGACATTTGTCTTGGTTTGGTTTATTTTGGCACAGTTAACCCCATGAGGCAATACATGCTCATTTTCGATGGGGATTTCGTTGCACAGTTGAAATCTGATTGCAATCTGGTTACAACCAAACAACCCAAAAACAACTGTACATGGTCAACTTTCGAAATGGCAAGGTCATGCATCAACAACCAGCAGAAAAAATAGAAGGCCCGTAGGAGCGCATCACATACACAAAGTATTGGGTGCCAAGCAGCACCCAGATAGTTAAGATTGTAAAATAAATATTGTATAACTTACCCGGATGTTATGCAAACTTATTCTGTGGAAACTACAGAAGAATACTTCATTTTGTGTGTATCTTGATCCACGTAGTAGCACAATTGAGCTACAATGGTGATAACATACAATATTTGAATAACATATTAAAGGTTAATTGTAGGATCATCTGTTGTTTTCTTAAAATTCTTCTAGTTAATGACTTAACGAGGCCCCCTGAGCTTACTACATTGTTATAAATATCATTTATTTAAAAAAACATTTCCATCACTTCCAGTAATGGCAACAATTGTACTGCAATTATTACTTTCAAAATTCTTTGCAAACCTCTGCACATTGTTTTCATGGAACATTTTCTGGCCTCATTGACTCTAGATTCTGCGTATCTTGGAGACGGTGGGCTGCTGCATTGTGGGGCAGACAGAGAGTCTGGTTCCTGCAGACAGAATACTCTACGGGATCCGTGATGTGACGTCGACAGTGGACAGCATCCCGCTAGTGACCGGTATCGAACATCAATCACAACAACAATGCACATGCATTCTTATTCTACCAGAAACTGAGAAACGGTATGCTTTCATTGTGTCAACTAATACTCCTGTCCCTGCCGTCTGTAGGGTCTATCATTTCTAAAAAGGCATGCGAGAACCTATCTGCCTTAGTCCTGGATGTGAAATTTGGAAAAGCTGCTTTCTACAAGAGTGAAGCTTCCGCTCGGGAACTTGCCATATCAATGGTACCGACGCCACACAAACAGCAAATAAATTGCATTTATTACCTGTTTTGATATTTATTACCTTCCAATTTAAATGTAGACAACAGGATTTATAAAAAAAATAATGAGTAGTGTACAATAAACTACTTGAATTACATTAAAGTGGCTTGTGTCAGAAGGAAATACTTGATGTAGATCAGTGCCGGATTATCCTGGGAGCAAAAGCAGCACTTTCAAGGGCCCCGCGCTAAATGCTTTCAAGCTATCAATTCCGGTTCAGTGATTCTGCACTTGCTCTATGACTATAGTACTATACTACCTTCAACTTTTATGAACGACTAGGTGTTTAAGGTTAGCGATTTGGCGTATTATCTGGCTGTATAGCAAATAAAAAAAATACAATGACTTTACTAATCAAGTAAAAAAAATTGTGTTTTTTATATTTACGTGTTTTTATTTAGGGCCCCTTTATATCATATGCTACAGGCCCCTCGCTAGCTTAATCCGGCACTGATGTAGATTATTCATTGCCATTGTCTTATCTATTATACGAGTGGTTTATCCGTATATATATGATGGCCAGATAACTCCTCATAGGCTGCTCCACTATGTATGTATAGTGAACTTCTTTTTCACCTTACATAGCCAACCGCGTTGTGTAAATATGTAGCGCATATGAACGAGGTCGAAATGACTCAATTGGACTTTTGACCTGATCATTTTGCTTATTGGCCCTAGCACTGCTTATCCACTCTATCATTAACAATATAAATGTGCGTGACTGCCCGATTTCCTAAGCATACACTGGATAGCCACGCACCATTGGGGGGAGCATTGTGTGCATGGAACAACTGAAACCGAAGGGGTTTCCTACGAGTATTGAACAGTCAAGTTCAAGTTAATTTATTAGGTATAGCCCTGTGAGCCATTCGGCTCTTGAATCGGGTGCAACCGCAACAAAAAAAAAACATGAACAAAAAACATCTTGAAGTGACTATGTGACTGAGTGCAAACAGAAAATCCAAGAAAAGACAGCACAATATTGCAGAAAAAGCACCGTACAGACGTTATTCAACATCACCCTTTGTCAATGGTGAAGATTCATATGGACTTGTCATATTTGGATAACATTTGTCAGCACTATGTAAGGGCCTATCAAATTTGACCGTCTCGTCATTTTTATCTGCAGCTGGTCATTCACTGCAGTTCAGTTAATATAGTATCAAATATTTGCTAATGAATAGAAATTTATGGCAAGCATGATAATGGGTAATTTGACATACAGAATGTTTGCAGTCATCCGTCGTAGGTATGTAACAATTTACCCACTCAAGTGTTTTGATCAAAACTAACAACTTACTTTTGGTGAGGTTGTTACTATTTGCACCACTAACAATCCACTTTGAAATATGATCTCGCCAGTTTCTTATCTGTTTATATGATGCTTTTGGCTGGCTATCGAGCAAAGACGGTCACTGAATCACGCGCTTTCAGACGCACTTCTTCCTTCCGATATTCAGAAGCCACTGGAGCTATGCACTTTTAAATCTAGATTTAAAACTCATTTCCCGAGAACATCTTTTTGTATCTCGTTTGTTGTCCTTCCCCCAACACCTCCGATTAGCACGGTTGGCTACGTACGGTGCGAAATAAATTCAACATGCATACATAAAGCAATACATTTCTATCCCAATCACAGGTCGATGTGGGAACACAATGTGGTATTCGCACAATTGCCGTGCTGAGTAAGATGGACAATCCCATTGGACTCCGGGTTGGCAATTCCCTGGAGGTGATGGAGTCTGTAGAATGCATGCAGGGCAAAGGTCCAGCTGATTTGGTACAACTGGTCACCAAGCAAGGTGAGAGCGCCCAACATCCTCCTGATTTATTTATAGCATATTCACAATCTTGAGCTGTCTTCTTCTTGGTTCTTTCGGTAAAGTCACATAGAATGGAAATAATAAAATAATAAAATAATAAAAATAAAACATAATAAAATAATATAATATCATTATTAAAATAATAAAAATACAACATAATAAAATAATATAATATCATTATTTTATTGTGTTTTATTTTTATTATTTTATTATTTCCATTCTACGTGACTTTACCGAAAGAACCAAGAAGATGAATCCCTGCAGTCACAAAAGCTTTAAGTCGAAAATTAAAAATCTTGAGCTGCTCATATTACTTGCCTGCTTGCAATGTTAACAGCGTTTGGTTGTGGTTAGGCAGTAAGCACTATCACTTGAGTTTTTATGGCATGTATCTGACTGAACACTGTGGACTGGGCTCTATTGTATTCGTATTGGATACTCTTCCTATTTGTTTCACTATCGAAAAATAACCAGATAACGGAACTGAGAAAAAGGGGAAAAGCTCCTGGACCAGATGGAAAAACTGTGAATATCATTTACAAAACATGACAAAATTACATAACGCAATTATCAGACCTGTTTACTAAACATCAACGTAGAAATGATTTACCTCCATCAAGGAATGATGCCTCAATAATTTATTTGCTATACTCTTTGGTTCTTTCGGTAAAGTCACGTAGGTATAAAATAAAGTTAAATAAATCACGACGTTTCTATTGCAACACAAGCAATCATCATCAGATTAAATTTATATTATTTTATACCTACGTAACTTTACCGAAAGAACCAAAGAGTATGGATCCTTGCAGTCACGAAAACTTCAAATCTAAATTTATTTGGTCCTGTGAGTTTGATCATTGCCTCCCTGCAATGTCAGCTGTAACTGCTGCCCCCATTACCGACAGTCTTGGGCTGTGGACGTCCTTGCAGAATAGCTGCTTCAAGTTCATTTATTTCATCAAGTTCATGTATTAGGTATAGCCCTGTGAGCCATTCGGCTCTTGACTCGGGTGCAACCGCAACAAACAAAAAACAAAAACATGAAAAAAAAACATCTTAAAGTGACTATGTGACTGAGTGCTTGGCTCAATAGTCCTCACCACCAGCCGACATAACGTCTGAGTCTTTATATAAAAAGTAAAAAAAAAGCAGGAGACAACCGACTTAAGAACTTCATGGAAGAGATGGGAATAGGCTCGATAAGGGGTCGTCCATAAATGACGTCACGCATCTGGGGGGGGTCAGACATTTGTGATGTGTGACGAGGTGGGGGGGTGAGAAATGTGACGTCACATCAAAATGCACAACTTTAAATAAATATAGACAACACGTTCTACTTAATTAAATACACTTTTTAATATTTTTTTCTCCTACAACATCAGAGTGCAGCGCCACATTACATACGCACTACAATAACAATAGTTTAAAGCGATTTGAAGCATGTTTGGTATATTTTTTTGGGGGGGGGGGACAGAGCTTTGTGACGTCATATTTGAGGGGGGGGGGGGTCTGACTTTTTGTGATGCCGTGTGACGAGGGGGGGGGGTCAAAAATTGTCCAAAATTGCGTGACGTCATTTATGGACGGCCCCCTTTGTTGCGCTGGACAGGTGGCGTGCTGCTGAACGCAATCGGCAAGGTGGGATCGGCTGAAGAGGGCGAGGAACGGATAAGGAGCGTGCTGCTGGATGGCTCTGCCTTGGCCAAGTTCGAGGCGATGTTGACGGCGCAGGGTGTCGAGGCAGGCGTCGCTCGCAGGCTTTGCAGGGATTCTGATTTTTCTGGGACAATGAAGCCAGCCAAGTTCTCCACGGATTTGTCGGTGGATCAAGATGGTAAAACGAAATGTTGTATTCTGTTCCACTACACCACGCGGGCCTAGGGGGTTATTTAGCCAAGCTCCGCCGTGCTCATCAGAGTGGGTTGTAGAAAGCAGGGAGCGTACGTGGATGTTGCTGCGCTATCCTCTACTGCCCACAAAATAGCCACACAGCAGCCTGCAACCTCTCGATGATGCACGGTGACCGCTCATCCAAACACTATGCAGGCTAAAACCCAACTTCGCTTGAAAAGATCTGGCGAAATTGGGCACATCCTGGGTGGTTTGGCCATGAGCTTGATCTAATAATTAGCTTTATCTAATAATAAGCTTCATCTAATAATAAGCTTGATCTAATAATAAGCTTTATCTAATAATAAACTTTATCTAATAATAAGCTTGATCTCATTTTATTGTGTTACGACTACCAAGAAAATAGGCAAGTTTAGCGAAGTGCACAATCACAAAGTGATGTTTCAACACCCATGTTATGTTAGTTGGCTCGCGTAAATATATAAATGTGTCGTTAAACCCGTCACCACCGGACACTGGAAATTTACTAAGGTTCGTCACGTAAACCTTGTGCCTGTGTTCGTAAATAAAACATGCCAATTCGTTACTAGTACGGCACACTGGTGTGTTGGAGAGCAAAGCCACAACATTTACAATCTGAATACAACGTTTCAGCAGTAATTACAACTAGCTTCATCAGGCGACAGCCAGTAACGAATTGGCATGTTCTGTTTACGTGACAAACCTTGCTAATTGGCTGTGTCGGGTGGTGGCGGGTTTAAGGACACATTTATATATTCACGCGATCGAACCCAAAAAAACTCTAATATGGACGATATTGGTCGCGAATGGCTACGTGTTAAACTCATGTTAATGCTCGTTGATGGAGGCCGTCATCAACATGCACTGTTGACTGGTGTGTCACTCTGCCCCATATAAAGACAGAATTATACTGGTAGGAACCACCTGGTTCCACCAGCCCACAGGGGATTATTGTGTCCGTCCGTCATACATCCAAAAATGGGAAGAGTGGGGCTGGGTGGAGAGGGGAGGCTGGGGAGGGGCTGGGTGGGGAGAGTGGGGAGGGGCTGGGTGGGGAGGGGAGGGTGGGGAGGGGCTGGGTGGGGAGGGTGGGGCTGGGTGGGGGGTGGGAGGGGTGGGGCTGGGTGGGGAGGGGCTGGTCACCCCGTGGTGCACTTATAAAACTCAACGTTTAACCTACTCACGCCGGCTTGTGCCCGCCCTCATAGTCGGCCATATTTGCGGAATACACCACGCCGCTGTTGACCCTGGCCATTGACCGAGCAACCCAACGTTCCTACCAGCTCCCTCCGCAGGAATGTGTTTACCTATGAAAATGTACACTGCATTTTTTTCCCCTCTTCCCAGCAGTCTCGAGTGAATTTACTGTCACAGTATCAGAATCAGAATCGTTGTTTATACTGGACGAATCCGATGAGCTCTGAAGATATTTTTCATCGATGTCCAGTCGGGGGCGGGTCAGAAAGTAAATTGAGTCGACGGCTGGCTCGAGAAACCAGGTTTAGCATGCGTCCTAAAACCCTAGTTCTACTCAGAGCAGCTGTCGCGACATGCTCCGTTCCCTTGTAATTTAAACGAAAAGCAAAGCTCCCACAATGGGACAAGTGGCACGGTAATGACCAGCAACTCAGTATCTTGAACTTTCACTTCCCACCTGAAGACGATTGCTTGTGTTGCGATCGAAACGTCGTGATCTATAAATTTTTTATTTACGTGATTTGACCGAAAGACCCAAGAGTGTTTATAGTACAGATGTTATTAAACCACAATTAAGTGAAAGATATAATGAATAAACTCTTTGAAGTTAAAGAAAATCTAAACGATTGAAAGGCCAAATATAAACCCAATTCAAATTAAGGACGACCTACAGACGAGGTGGACAAAGCGTAGAGGTGGTGTAATAATAATCGTTGTTTTTACCTCACAATATTGAGAAGGATTTTTCCTTCTCTCAGCCACAACAGAGGGCTCTTGTTAAAATCTTTCAAGAGTGTCACAAATTGCTTGCCGGTGAAAACAACTAAAATGGATGTTTTTTCTTCTTCTTCCTCCTCCTTCCAGGGTTTGTCCAGTCGATAGATGCAATGGCCTTGGCCATAGTTTTGCAGAAGCTGGGAATGGGACGTAGTCAGGTGGGCGACCCGGTAAACCACAGCGTCGGCGTCCAGATCCTCGCTCCCGTGGGACACCGCCTCTCCCGAGGTGACACCGCCCGCGTGCCCACGCATGCCGGCCTCCGGGCCCTGGTTCTTATCACGTGACGTTTTAACAAGTGTTAAACTTTTTTTAAATCCTTTATATTAAGTTCGCTTGCTTGCTTGCTTGCGTGCTTGCGTGCTTGCTTGCTTGCGACCGTGCAAATCTTTCGGTCGTTTTTTAACCCACTTCCCGTGATCCAATCGAGCTGACATTTTGCACACAGACTCGTTGTGCGAGACAATTAATGTTCGTGAAAATTTTTTTCCCAAAATTTTACACTGTTTAGGGAAAACAAATTAAATATTTAATTACCAATTGCTTAATACTGGCAGACAATCATCTGACCCATAGGTGGCAGCCATCTCAAGCCAGAGGACGAGAGGACTCTAGCCGCCACGCAAATAAAGGATTTATAGTGAAAAACTTTGTTTTTACGGGTTATACTTATTTTTATTGCTCACCACTGATGTAAGCCAAACTCAGGTCGCCGGGTTCATAGTGTTCAATTACAAATAAGGGAATGGTCGAACGACAACGACCGCACAATAAAATATGCGATGGTCGTCGTTTGAACACAATCTGTGCATCATGCATTTGACGAAAGCTCATGCCGCCTCGCCCCGTGTTCCAGATGAGAAGTGGATTCGTGTGTTTCACGAGGAGGCGGAGCTTGCGGGCGAGCACGTTGCTGCTCTGCAGGAGTCACTGGACATCGGACCCGTCCCTTGTGCTCCTATCACACTCGTCACTGACATCATTACAGCATCGTCATGAGGCTGAGAGCAGGTGGCAGGAGGTGGTCTTGCTTAGCTGGGTCTATATTCATCTTCTTGGTTCTTTCGGTAAAGTCACATAGAATGGAAATAATAAAATAATAAAAATAAAACATAATAAAATTATTCTCACGACGTTTCGGCCACAACGCAAGCAGCCGTCCTCAGGCGGAGAGCAAGTCTGTCGAGTAGACAGAGTCTATGATGTTTTATTTTTATTATTTTGTTATTTCCATTCTACGTGACTTTACCGAAAGAACCAAGAAGATGAATCCCTGTAGTCACGAAAGCTTTAAATCGAAATTTGGGTCTATATTGTTTAGCTATGCAGCCTATGGCATTAAATATGGCTTTGAACTAGTTTTTCTAAAACTATGCCCTTTATATACAGTTGGAGAAGCACAGGGGATGCCTGGGGCAGTGCAGATCTCACTTGCCACTGATGTTAACCGTGGCTTGGAATGGAACGTAAGTCACCATGTTCATAGAGCAGTTCATTAACCCACAGTGTGCTACCACTCCACTCCCAGTAAGTTTGTATTACTGTCTAATGTACTGGACAATCTTATTGACATACCTCAGAGTGGTCAAGGTAGAGTTGAACGATTGTAAAGTCACAGGTGACATGTGTATATGGTTTATATGGGTGGTACAAGCATTGCAGCAGCAGATGATGATGTATAAACACTGCATTGAGCTAAAAATTAACTTTCACCACACATTACCGCAGGCATCTTCAGAGCAGATTCTTCAGAGAAGATGCCCGCAGGAGTGCGTAGTGAAAGCTCGAGAGATGTAATGTTTGACATGCAGCAGCTCAACGTGGAAGAACACAACACTTTGATTATGAGTGACTGTGAAAATCTACGTGCTAATCATACAACATGTTAATCATTTAATACTGCCATGGGCGGTGGTCTCACCACACCTACATTTACAATGAGATTCCACTGCCAACAATGATTCCCTTTTACGAGGTATGATCGAATATATGTGACAGTGAAATAAAGCTGTAACTTATAACGTGAATGACGTTGTTGTGTATTTACCACGTAAGGAAGACACTTCAAGAGTAACCTTGCATTGTCGATGTGACATGCTCGTCAACAATATTGTTCTAAAAAAAAAGTTAACTTCGCCCTTCCACTTGAATGTTCAAAAGTGGGATGTGGGCCTGTCCGTAAAAGCTCTAATGGATGCAACAGTTTGTGCAAATTGCTCTTGGTCAGGTTCAAGAGCACAACACTTTTACACTCAAGAGAAAATGATTGAGTGAATTAACAACAGTAGATGATAGTGGTTGAAAACATGAGACGAACATATATACCAAGTACATACACTTATAAGAACCACATTAAATATGCAACATTCAGATAAAAAATATATATTCTTCATATAATTGTTTAAATGCCTAAAGCGCGTTTAAACAACAGTGTGCTATTGTCTCTGAAGCATTTGAATACCTCCATAAATACGATTTATTTCAGCTCATTAAGGTTCCTCTGCATTGCGTCAATCAGCTCATAATCGTCAAAATGCTTTCCACGCAAATGCTCCTTCAATTTTGGGTAACTGGTAAGAGCCACTGGATACCAGGCCTGGAGAAGGAGCAGGATGTAGGAGTTCCTTAAACGTGGGATTCCTTGACACCAGCCTTTGTAAATCTTGGCAGTGTGAACTGGAGCATTGTCATGCAGAACCAAGGGTGTATGTACTCTTAGGTTTTTTCGGTAAAGTCACGTAGGTAAAAAATAAAATTAAAAGTTAATAAAAGTAATAATGGAAATAAAATAATAAATCACGACGTTTCGGAGGCAACACAAGTCTCCCTCATCAGGTGGGACCGTCACAGCTAAAATTACTGACTTTACCGAAAAAAACCTAAGAGTATGAATCCTTGCAGTCACGAAAGCTTCAAATCTAGAATTAAAGGGTGTATGTCTTGTCTTTCCACAGCCCTTTGACTCATGTGTATCATATGAAACGCATGATATTGCCTACATAGTACTTCGACTTGATTTTTTGTGGCTGCCGTTGAGGCTCTGAGTCACAATGTTTTATTCCAGATCTAACCACCAGTAATAAATTGCCTCTTCAACTCGTGCCAGTTTGCATTTATTCGGTCAAACTTGTTGTCATGGGAAGTTATTGGATGCTCCCCCTTTGATGTCGCATGTTTGTATTCTGGGGACCCACAGCAATGTCAAAGGCGTCGGCTGACTGCATAACAGTAACACGGTGATCTTCCAAAATCATGTCTCACGCAGCCTTCTCATTTTAAACTAAACTATTTTTTTTATTAACCAGGTAAGATCCCATTGAGCTATGTCGCTCTTTTTCAGAAGCTACCTGGCCACAAATGATAGCTCAACAAAATGGCTTATCACGTGGGAATGTTAAGCAGCCAAGTACTGTAAAGGAACTTTTGGATATAATTCACTGTCGTCGCAAGCTGCCCTGAGCTCACCTTATCCTCAACGGTCTGCCACGAAATATTTAATTCCACCTTTCAACTTCATGTACAACCCAGGTCACCCTTGCAAAAGAGGCAATGTTTCCCTTGTCTCAATGGGTTTATTTCATCTCCTGGGTGAATAAAGGATACAAACAACTGTTGCATATGAACGGTGCAATATCCCCATATATTTTCAACATGCGTTCATAAAAAAAACAATGTCGGTTCAGTGTTCTCTCGCGTGAAAAACTTAGATGACCGTCTGCTAGTTTAAGGGCCAGATACGGAACTGGAATCACCAAAAGTAGCAAAACGCGTATCATACCGTTGTAATTACACCGCTACTTAAGAGTCAATTATTTTATTCCCACTCATTTCAAATGGTTATCGCATAACTTCACCGTTAATGACCACATAAAGCCATTGGAACGACGAAAGCCATGCCACCTCGGGTGGTCACGGCAAATTAAATATCTGGTCTGGGCTCATGTGGACTCCGATGCTTGATTTTCCGGTTTTTAGAAGTGCTCCACTGTTACAGTAAGGATACAGTATATGATGCATAAACATAAATCAGTGACGTGAATATTTCACACGTTGTTACGGTAATGATTTAACAACGTAGACTTTACTGTACACGTCAATTGCAATCTCGGTACCTGGTCAAACCCCAAAGGTAAAACGTATATGGGGCTCACATGGCGGTATTCTGTGTGGGGGAAATAAACACTTTACCACAACACGTGTACAATTGTAGGTACAATTCTTACTTTTTGACACTTTACATTTAGACATAATGTAAAGGCACAACAGTCGGTTTAATAACCGGAATTTTGAAATGCGAGCATATTTTTTGACAGAATGGTCAATTTTCTTTGGCAAAATTCTCCAGAATGAGTTTTTGACAAAATGGTAAAAACAATAGTTTTTTTGTGAAAAAACAAATAAATTGGTATATTTGCTTTACGTTACAAATTGTTTTGATAGGCTATGTCGGATGGTGGAGAATTATAGTACAACAAATAACATACTCTTTGGTTCTTTCAGTAAAGTCACGTAGGTAAAAAAATAAAATACAAAATAAAAATAAATCACGACGTTTCGATTGCGACATAAGCAATCATCAAGAACCAACGAGTATGGATCCTTGCAGTCACGAAAACTTCAAATCTAGAACAAATAACATATCTACAAGATCTAACCCCAAAAAATTACGTCATTATTAACCAATTCTAGATTTGAAGCTTTCGTGACTGCAAGGATTCATATTCTTAGGTTTTTTTCGGTAAAGTCACGTAGGTAAAAATTTAAAATTAATAAAAGTAAAATAAAAATAAAATAAAAATCACGACGTTTTGGAGGCAACACAAGCTTCCGTCTTCAGGTGGAACCGTCACAGCACGATAGCTGTATCAAGTGAGAGAAATTCCAAGAACACAGTATTTGTATATATACTGGTTGAGGGTGGGAGGAGCCAAGGTAGGCCCCGAACCTCACAAAAATAATATTGGAATTTCTCTCACTTGATACAGCTATCGTGCTGTGACAGTTCCTACCTGAAGACGGAAGCTTGTGTTGCCTCCGAAACGTCGTGATTTTTATTTTATTTTAATTTTACTTTTATTAATTTTAATTTTTTACCTACGTGACTTTACCCAAAAAAACCTAAGAATATCATTATTAACCAGGTTATTCTACGGTACATGGCTGTGTTGTGGGGAGCAGAGGAAATTTATTGCACAATCCTGTACATTGTTGTACTGTACTTGTATGCCGCAGGGTGAATGTGATCATTGCATATTCCTATTAAAGAATTGTCATTCGTGATTACAATGTGATAAGTTATGCACCTTTACAGTTTTTATTTATTATTATTGTGAACAGTTAGTGACTACAATAACTTCTGGGATATTATTTCATTCGATTATTGTTTTCCTGTATAAAAGAACTACAACAGTTCATAAAATAAATTCTAATTTTTTTGTCATACATTATTAATTGAAAATTATCTAAATGTAATCACCTATCCGTTGTAAATGGTGCCGCGTGTTGCTGGCCGCTTGGCGTGACGAGCTTTCATATCCGTGCTCATTAGTTGACGATTACACTCCGTGTCCAGTGAAAACCAGCAAAAGAATCGTACGATTATGGTCACGATTTCCCTGACTGGACATGAGCAGCTTAATGTTTTGAAACCCTTTAAATATCTACTCAAGGCCATTCTGTTCCGATCATCAGGACGTGCAATTACAATACGGCAGTTTCAGCCAAATTCAAAGACTCATAAGCAACGCATCGATGATCTTGTATTTTTAAAAAATTTGACTTAAAATTATTTGTGGTTACGCTTCGCGGTGCACGCACTTGGTAGACGCACAATTTTACGCGAATGAATATGATTTATTTATGATAATATTCCCAACGAAATTTGCAATGACTTGTGGGACATCGCGTGGGCTATATAAGCGTCTGCAGTGCGTCTGCCCACCCCTAGTTCCTCTGGTTTGTCGCGAGTGCTCGGGTGTGGGCAGAGGGAGGGTGGGAGGAGGAGGAGGAACGATCCTCTCTGTTGTGTTTCATTCATTCATCCATCCATCCATCCCTCCCATCCTCACTCATTTTAGTCGACGCCAAATATGATCGTGCCTAAGCCTACCATGCAAGAGAAGCCGAGTGCGACCGAGAGAAGAGGCATTCGGACGCTCACGGGCGTGTATGAGAGCTACATCGATAACGTGATGCTCTATCTGAAACACAAAATAAGGAACTTGGAAAAACGAAAGGTAAATTCCATGAATTGATTCACGCCCCAACTTTTGCGCAGTGTGTGCTGTGGGACTTCCGTTGGCTCGATTCTTGTTTAGCCACGCAAGCACGCGTGTGTGTGTGTGTGTGCTGATGTACTTGCTTGTATTGTATACGGTGTACGTATATTATATGATGTGTGAGATTTTTCAAGGATGGTGTGCTTCTCGGGTTTAATTGTGCGTAGCGTGGGACACACGTGTGTGTGTGTGCGGCGTGATGGAAAGGGGGTGGCTCCGATTGTGCTTTGTCTGAGAGCAAATGTTGCCTCGTCCATTGCTTTGTCATTCTTCGTGCACTGTAGCAGCAAGACTGTGTAGCAGCAAGACTGTAGAACGGGGAGGTCCTGAATACAATATACGCTTTGGGATGGAATCGATTTTTTTTTGTCGTTTGCTGTTTAAAGCCGTGGCTTTTATTTTCAGGCCATTGGTTAGGTTTGTGATTTTGTTGTTGTTGTTGTTTTAAACATTCAATTGCTGGAAATATTGGACTGCGTGTGCTTGTCACCACCGCATGCGATTTCATCCCCCCGTGCAGTCATCACTTTTTTACGGATTCGTTTAATTTGGGCGACTAACCTCAACTTGCTGTGTACGATGGGGGTGGGTTTTTTTATTTTCAAGGCCGAATAACTCTCGTGGCTTTTCTCTTTCTCTCTCGAGGGCTCACTCGAGTTGGGGCGGGGGGGGGAGATTTTTGTCCGCCAGCAGTGGCGAGAGTAAGCAATTGCAGGGGCCGCGCCTTTGTACGCTACAGCACTGCATCT